CATATTGGATGCAAGTATAGCATCCAATATGAATATTTTAGAATTGTTATTTCAATTCGAATTTCACGTGTAAAAATTTACATGTGAACACGTATATATGGATATATATACACGTATAATTTCTGCACAACACCTAGCGAACGGCTCCTTTGACCGAATATATATATTTATTAGTTAAGAATTTTATTGTATTTAAGTTTTAGAAATAAACTACGTACACATTGTTGCTCAACGGAAACCGCAAAAAGGTGGTGGTTTCTCCCGTCAAAAACAATGTACAACATTTGTTTTGTTCAATATTGTAATAAATGTTTATATGTACGTTTTCTAGCATAAAAAATAATAATAATTAAAATAATGGAACTAATTTGACATGTTATATAAAACAATGTTTCAATAAAAATATAAATAAATACAAATATATAAAAATTAATACTAATATTGAATAAGAAGGCTGTACGAGTATAATAGTGGATGAACGTGTATGGTTTTATTGTAAGATTTTTTATTCATACGTTTCGATCTAAATCAGATCTTCTTCAGTGAATAACTGTTAGAACAATATTATATGTGTTTAAAAATAAATTTGATTATAACTTATTAAATAATAATTGACAATAACTCATCAATCTGGTAGAGTCGTAACAGGAGTCATATCACCAGTTTCAGAACAACTTAAGATGTACACATGTTTGTAAATTCACTCGTACAGCCTTCTTATTCAATATTACTTTTCGACGAGTAATAATAATAATAAAAGTAATACACTTTACAAAACCATTGTTGTGTATTTCCAAACAGAATAAAGATAGAACAGAACAGGTAAAAGCTTANATAGAAAGGATAGAAGTAGAAAAGATAGATGGAATAAGAAGATAGAAAAGAAGGAGAAATATATAACGAAAGAACAAATAGAATAGATTTAAAAAATTTAAAAAAACTCCCGGACAGCACAAACTTTCAAGTGACATCTTAAAAACATTCAAAGTTCGTCCTCAAAAATAGCACATTTCCCGGATGTCTTTAAGACGTATTTTGCAGGTCTATGCTGTCTGGGATAAGAAAAAGAATACAACATAAAAAAGACGTGCAATACATAGAGTGTTATAATTATTTTAAAGTCACTTTCCACGAGTTACAATTGCCAACAGAAGTCAAGACAAAAATATTTAAGAAATTAAAATGCATCTATAAATAAATATATATAAATATAAAAAAACTAAATTTAAATAAACAAATAAACATATATATGTATAAAATATAAAAAAACGGAATACAACACGTTGAAAAAAATCTGAGTCGCAAAAAGTATATTATAATTAGTATACTACATGACACGTGATGATTTGTTGGAGGAAAATCCAACAATATGAAAAATGTTACGATAGAGCGGAAAAAAAAAAAAAAAAAATAAACTGTGCGATGGCCGGGAATCGAACCCGGATCAACTGCTTGGAAGGCAACTATGCTAACCATTACACCACCATCGCACTTCTGTAGACCCTCTCATGTAGAGTGTGATATTTTCCACAAGTATCGAGATCAATTAGAAAACGTAGATAATCATCGATTGTCGAAATTGAATTTACCTTGGAAGCGTGAATGCAATTTGTCATAAGTATCGTCGCGCCCGCGGCGATCTTTGACACATCGTTCCAGTGCGCGAATACGTTCGCTATTTCCGCGGCGAGCAGAATGCCCAGTATAAAGGTGAAACTGCAGACGGTGTACAGCAGATAAAAAAACCGATATCCGCCGTTACGTGGCGGCCAGGTGCCCAAACAATAAACGATCGACAGGCTCACTTTCAAGTGAAAATTCGGCTCGATCGTGTTCTTTGCGTCCATTGTTTTCCCGATTCGAAAGATCGTCGCAAATGTACTCGAATCTACTTTGTCAGAAAGAAATGACTAAATAAGAATGTTACGTGAGGATTTTTAATTAATTATTTTTAATTTTATATTATTTTTCTATACTTATTGTTATTATTGCGAGCGAATTTTATAATTAATATATATTTTTATTTTTAATTAATTTTCTAATTAATAAAAAGCGCGTGCGCAAAACTAAAATAAAAATTCGTAAAATTGTGATATTTACGCGATCTTGAGGTTTGCAATTTGACTTCGCTGTCTCTTGTCGGAGCATTGAACCGTCGCGCTCGATGTTTGTATAATAATTTACAGAAACAAAGGGACGCGGTACTGTCATCTGTTATTGTCGATCGATTGATTCGAGTAATCCAGGATCCTCGCTAATTTCACGGAACGTTCGTGTACGCAAATTACAACGTCACGTAACGCTTGGCCTGTAATCGACAATCGTCGCTCCGCATTCGTCGTGTACCGCGCGCATGCTGCATTCTTATCACGAACAGACTTTATTATCCGCGCAAATTACGAAAGCTGCAATCTACTGTAGGAATAATTGACTCGAGACCGCTGTTTCTCACTCCGTTCTGCTGGGAAACAACCAGTGTTTCCCAGTGGCGACGCTGCCTCGTGGAAGTTCGTTCGCAATTTGACAACCGACTCGGTGCAGCGACGCTCCGAAAAAAATTTGTTTTTCCGCGTGCATATTTTTTGGCGGTCTAACAATTTTTTTGTTAAACAAACTGCACCCAGTGCGGCAAAGAAAATTATGATATCTTGTTATTAATAATTTTGATATAATTTTTTTGTGATTTATTTTAATATCTCAACAAATATAACATACGTACAAAGTTTTGCAGCCAATTTTTTTACTTCTAGATAGAAGTTTTCTAGATAACTTTATTTAAAAGATATCTCCCGAAATTGGTTCTCCTTATTGGTTCTCAGAGAAATTTATTCAGAGGATAGCTATCGAGAGGTGTGAAGAAAACGGCCGTTAGAGAAGAACGAGAGCTCTGGTCTTTCGTCATTCGTCGACGATATATTTGTCAGATCAGCGATATATGATACGCAATATATAGACGCGCAAGTGTTTAAATCTCGTCGCGCTCGTTTGGTGGCACTTCGTCCATACGGAAGCAACTTAAACGATGTCGATTTGACATAATCGATCAATCACATTGCTTGATCGAAGTGTTGAAACATCGTTATCGCTCCGCGATATTCAGCTTGTTGCTGGTCGGAAACGTTATTTACTCTTGCGACGAGTAAACTCGAGGTAAGTTGCCTCAGTTACTCGGTGATCTCCCGCGTCTGGTCATACCGGTTTTCCGATCGCGTCGATCCGAATCTTGTTTATATCAAAAAAACTGTTTGTTTCTACTCCGTGAGAAATGGCAATGCTGAGCAAAGATCTGCCCGATATCGAAGTGAGTATTTTGGTTTCAACGTGCGCGAGATGACGACAACAAAATGTGTGCGTCATCACGAGAATAACGTAATTATCGCGACGCAATAATTACATCTGTTAAGAACGAAAGTCTTTGAGAACGCAATTTTTTTTTTTCAGAACATACTGAACGTCAATCCGAAGTCCAAAAGTCACGCGAGTCTCGTGCCGTCGGCCTGTACCAAGGAGATCAAGCAGCACTGGAAGAGAAACATTCACGAGAAATGTGACGTAAGTCGTTTAAAAATAACTCATTCGCGCTGTCAATCAATCATTTAAAACTATTTTTAAATATTAAAAGCGTTCACGTGTATGTAATAAATAATATCGAGATGTTTGCAATTCAAGCGCAATTTCTGTACAGTTGCGTGGATTTTTCTTAGATACACCGAACATTTAATATATCTTGATATTAGCAATCTTATCTACTGATAATATAATTTTTTAAGGACATTTATTTCTTAAAGAGACACACATCGCGTCTGATAAACTCAATAATCACAAATTTTTCTGTCAAATTAATAATTATATAAAGAACTATAATTATTATATATAGTTAACTATACTTAAATAATTTTATAAACTATACTTAAATAATTTTATTAATCAATTAATTATATTATATATTTAACCCTCTACGGGCCCATGTAACTTTCAAGCTAATATATCCACATTTTACCAAATATTTCTGGTTTTTTTCACAAGATGATGTATACGTCTTAAATTTTTTTTATATTTAAGAAAAAAATTCGGCCCATAGAGGGTTGAGATCATTTTCAGCCTTTCAATATTTTTCAACTAATATTTTTCAGCTAATATATTTTTTAAATACAAACAGAAATATTGAAAAATATTAGTTGAAAAATGTTAATTAAAAAATATTTCTCAACTAATATTGTTTAGCTAATATTTTTTAAATAAGAAACTTCAATTTTTCTCGTGACAGAATTTGACGGAAACATTTAGTTCAGTTTTACTAAGACGCGACATCTCACAAAACACTGTTTGGATCTAAAAACTGAGCGATAAGCGATATTGCTGACTTCCGCCGATTGTTTTCAGAGTTGCACAACTCTGACGAAGAACTTCGACGATATAAAGCACACGACGTTGAGCGAGCGAGGCGCTCTGAAGGAAGCGGCGCGTTGCCTCAAGTGCGCGGACGCGCCTTGCCAGAAGTCCTGTCCCACGCAACTGGACATCAAGTCCTTCATCACGTCCATCTCCAACAAGAATTATTATGGCGCGGCTAAGGCGATCCTTTCGGACAATCCGCTCGGTCTCACCTGCGGCATGGTCTGTCCGACCAGCGATCTCTGCGTGGGCGGGTGCAATCTTTACGCGACCGAGGAGGGTCCGATCAACATCGGCGGGCTTCAACACTTCGCCGTGGATGTAATCTCGCTCAATAATGTTATAATTATACTTATCTCGCTAATTTGCAAAACGACGATTCATTGACGTGTCTGTCAAAAATTTATACACGCGCGTCCGCTTCAAATATTAATTACTCCGGCAGATCTTCAAACGGATGAACATTCCTCAAACTCGAATACCGAATCAAACGGTACCTTATCCAAACACCAAGATAGCTTTGCTCGGCTGCGGACCGGCTTCGCTCTCGTGCGCAACGTTTCTCGCCCGACTCGGTTACGACGACATTACGATCTTCGAGAAGGAGAATTACATTGGCGGATTGAGCTCTTCCGAAATACCGCAGTACAGACTTCCGTACGACGTCGTCAGCTTCGAGGTGGATCTCGTCAGGGATCTGGGAGTAAAGATCGAATTAGGAAGGTCGTTATCCGAAGATGACTTGACGATACAGGTGTTTATATCTTTTTTTGCAATATGTTTTTTTAGGATTACTCTTTTCAGAAATCAGTGACGGAGAGTCTACGAAACTCTCAACAACAACAAGAAGTGCAATTATTCGGAATCGCTTCCCTAAATGTTTCAGAGTCTTCAAGATGCGGGATACAAAGCGATTTTTTTGGGAATCGGCTTGCCCGAGCCGAAGACTGCAACGATCTTCGAAAACCTCACGCCGGAAATGGGTTTCTACACGTCGAAGAATTTTCTGCCCGCCGTCGCGAGAGGCAGCAAACCCGGAATGTGCGCCTGCAAAACCAATCAGCTCCCGTCTCTCCGCGGCACCGTGATCGTACTCGGCGCGGGAGACACCGCCTTCGATTGCGCCACTTCCGCTCTCCGATGCGGAGCCAGAAAGGTGTTCGTCGTCTTCCGGAAAGGTTTCACCAATGTGCGCGCTGTTCCAGAAGAGGTACTCTCTCTCTCTCTCTCTCTCGTTATTTCGATTTTTTAATTCGAAGCAAAAAGAAATCTGAGACGAAGAATTTGAGAAGAGTTTAGATATTCGCGCGATGATCACTTTCAGATGGACTTGGCCAAGGAAGAGAAATGCGAGTTCGTACCCTTCCAATCGCCGAAGCGAGTCATTCTTCGCAACAACAGAATCGCCGCGATCGAGTTCTACCGGACCGAGCAAAACGAGAAAGACGAGTGGATAGAAGACGAGGAACAGAGGGTCACTTTGAAGGCGGACTTTGTAATTTCGGCTTTCGGCTCGGGACTGTACAATTCTTCTGGTAAATAACGTTGCTCTTTTTCACGCAAACTTGTATAAAACACACTTGTGTGCGTTTTGTTTTAAAAGAGTTTTTTTATGAAAACAGTGATGCGCGCAATGGCGCCAATCGAGATGAACGGATGGAACCTGCCGGAAGTGAACGAGATCACGATGGCGACGTCGGTGCCAGGTGTGTTCTGCGGAGGAGACCTCGCCGGTGTCGCACAGACGACCGTGGAATCCGTGAATGATGGAAAAACAGCTGCGTGGTACATTCATCAATACATACAGGTACATCGCATCAATTGTCAATGTCTTTAAACACACTAGTGATCTACGTAACAATGTAAATGTTCGTTTGAATCAATAAAGAAAATGCTATGCAGAATAAGAAAAGGGAAAGAAGCAATAGGTTTATGGGTCAGGTAATTTAAGGAGTATGACTAAGAGGAATGGAAGGATAAATGAGTTTAGAAGATTGTAAACCAAGTCCCCTTCTTGGCCTAAGGCTGAAGTGAATAAACATTTATTATTATATTTATAAAGAAAATGCTAATATTTATCAAGAAAATTCGAACATTCAATTTATTTTTCACGGGGTGTTCACAGGAATCCTATGGTTTGACGGTACCGAAAAATCCGCGGCTACCGAAGTTCCACACCGCCATCGATGACGTTGACCTGAGCGTCGAGTTCTGCGGTCTGAAATTCGAAAATCCCTTCGGTCTCGCGTCCGCTCCACCCTGCACCACCAGCGCGATGATCCGACGAGCTTTCGAGGCCGGTTGGGCTTTTGCCATCACGAAAACCTTTTCTCTGAACAAGGTGACTTAATCGACAAAGAAGCGTCACGCTGCGAGACAACGTCTTTCAAAATTTCTAGTTTTTTTTCTTAAATCTCTCTCGTAGGATCTCGTCATCAACGTGTCGCCGCGCATCATCAAAGGCACAACGTCCCGACATCACTACGGGCCCGAGCAAAGTAGCTTTTTGAACATCGAGTTGATATCCGAGAAAACCGCGGAGTATTGGTGTCGGAGTGTCGCAGAACTGAAACGAGACTTTCCCACGAAGGTACGTACACAGTGTTTTGAGATCTTGATTACATTCAATACGTATGTGCAAAATTTTGTCTCGCGTGTAATTATGTTTGTCTATCTTTCATTTATGAGATTTTTTTTGTTTTTCTGTATTCTTGCATAAAAGATCGTTATCGCGAGCATTATGTGCACATATAACAAGGCCGATTGGGTGGAACTGGCAAGCATGGCGGAAAGAGCTGGTTCTGACGGCCTCGAACTGAATCTATCCTGTCCTCACGGCATGGGCGAAGTCGGAATGGGTTTGGCTTGTGGACAGGTTTCATTGATTACAAATTTTCTTTATTCCTAAAATTTGGAATTTCTGAAGAACAGCTCAATGGATTGTCTTTCAGGATCCAGAGCTGGTCAGAAACATTTCTAGATGGGTTCGCGAAACCGTCAAGATACCATTCTTCGTTAAATTGACGCCAAATATCACCGATGTTCTTTCAATCGCCAAGGCGGCTTACGAGGGTAAATTTATTTCGGATATTTTTGTGAAAATAAAATCGACAGTTATTCGATTGCGATTAATATAACGCGGGTTTTGCGCAGGTAAAGCCGATGGCGTTACCGCGATTAACACCGTGTCGGGATTGATGGGTTTGTACGCTGACGGAACTCCATGGCCGGCGGTGGGTCTCAATAAACTGACGACATACGGCGGTATGTCGGGAAACGCAACCAGACCCGTAGCTCTGCGAGCCATCTCGACAATTTCGAAGCATCTTCCGGGATTTCCGATACTCGGCACTGGCGGCGTCGATTCGGCCGACGTCGCTCTGCAATTCTTACATTGCGGCGCATCGGTCGTTCAGGTTTAACAAGAAACATTCTATAAATTAAAATATTATATTGGAGAGAGAAATCATTATGCGAGAATTTATACTGTTTTAGATTTGCAGCGCTATTCAAAATCAAGATTTCACTGTGATAGACGATTATGTCACCGGTTTGAAAACGTTATTGTATCTGAAAACTCTGAAGCAAGTGAAAGACTGGGACGGTCAGAGCCCGCCGACGTTTAAGCACCAGAAAGGCAAGCCTGTTGTTTCAATGCAACACGCTCTCGGCAAGGTGAATATTACTCATCATAATGTTTACGTCAAAATGTCTTTAATTAAAAATTAATTATTTAAAGCAGTTGTCAAATTTTTAAAGTGACCGCTTGATCGCGAAATATATGACTTTTGCAAAAAAAAATGTTGTTAAATAAAATTGAAAACTTTGTTTATTTTTTTCAATTAATTTCTTAAACATTTCTGCTGAATTTTGCACTCAAAAATCTTTTTTTTTTTTTTTTTCTAGAACGTACCGTATTTCGGTGTGTATCAAAGGTTGCGCGAGAAGAAGATAGCCGAGCTGAAAGCAAACTCGAATCCATTGGACGGGACCGTTACGGCGACACGACCGGCACCTGGACCGATCAAGTCAATTCCCGCTTTGAAGGACGTGATAGGCAAAGCGCTGGACCACATTGACAATTTCAATGCGTTAGACAATTTGAGACAAGTCGTGGCTCTGATCGACGATGTATTTAAACCGTTCAGACATTTAAACCGTTATTCGCGTCATCGCGTTGTCACGTGAAATATCCGTATTACATGTCGTTTTTTTTGCAGGATTTGTGCATAAATTGCGGCAAATGCTACATGGCTTGCGCGGACTCCGGATATCAGGCGATCTCCTTCCATCCTGACACTCACATTCCCACAGTGACGGACGATTGCACCGGATGCACGCTCTGTCTATCTGTGTGTCCGATCATCGACTGCATCACGTAAGTTTTTAAATATCTATAGTATATGTCGCAGCCTGTTTTGTCTTGTTTTTGCTGCGATTTTTTTCAACTGATCGCTGTTGTTGATTTTATTCTATTTTTTTTTTTTTTCAGTATGGTTCCCAAAACAATTCCGCACATAATTAAAAGAGGCGTGCCTCTGAAAACCGGTAATTTTCTGAACAATGTACATCTCGTGACGGTTAACCGCCAATAACATTTTTTTTGGTGGATTCGAACTCGGGACCTCCCCCGCACTCAGTCCGCCAGACTACCGGGCCCCGGTCTTGATAATCAATAAATTATGTAGTAAATTCGAAGCGTCACCTCTCAGGTGACACGTTAATTAACAAGAATTTTATATTGTTATTATACCAAATGATTCGATCTGTAATAGATTAGCATTCCCTAATAGGCACATTTGTGAAAATATTGCACAAAAATATATGACATCATGAGTGACGACAATTTCTTGCATTTCTTCATATGCAATCATATTTCTACATATTTGAAACATCACATAGCTGAATTTCTTTTCTCAATTATTGGACAATTTCTTTGTGAAATTAATTTTGCAAATATATACCGCTAAGATGATTCGCCATATTCGTTATTCTTTTGTCGAAATAGTATTTGGAAAGTAATTTTGCAAACAACTACAAATATTTTAGAAAAGATCAATGTTTTTACGTCTATTTCCTAAAATATGTCTGTATAATTGCAAATTACAATTTCAGTGCAAGATTTTGTCACATAATTTTGTAAATGGTTTTCTATCCGGGGATTGAGAATGATCAAATTCGCGCTGGTCGAAACGTTTGAATGGATTAATAAAATTTTGGAAAAAAATTACCACCCTCAACCATCCGTGTTATTGCTCTCATTGATCCGCGTCTCGTCATTTAATTTTTAATCAACAAGTTTGCTGCAAAAAATAAATGAGATTGAAGACGCAAGTGATTTACTGCTTTGTTAAGTTTCATTTTATTTACACAACACATCACGTGAATTTGCATTATGCAACGCATACACACACAAAAGTTACATATGTTTTACAAATTGCTAAATCTTATGCACAATATGTACACGATATTAAATTACACGATATAAATTAACCTTCGAACGCGCGAGATAATTTAGCTCTCTCCGAATTATCGATTCATTTTCTTCAAAATTTCTTATCGCACATCACAATTTTTATATAAGATCAAGTTTTTTACGATAACGCAATCTTGTACGTTTATCTTCGAAACAACAAAGTTTTACAAAAGCACGCGAGTATGCTGTTATTTACACGGATTGTGTGAGTTTTTATTATCGGTAGGTAGGATACAAAACAGTATCCTCGTTTCGTTACGAGTGTCCGAACGCCGTGACCAACTTAATACTTGGGACTGTTTTGCCATTTGTATAGCTTGCATTGTTTTTCGCATTGTAGGCGATCAGTAACTCTGAAATATTTTTTCATCAAGAGTCAATAAATAAAAAATTAATGAACTAAGTTAAAGCAAAAACAGGAAATGTATAATGGCCATTTGAAGCAAAAACACTGGTGATAACGTGTGTATGATAGATGCATTACTTTATTCAAGCAGGTAACATATAGAACGTTTTCGGCCTTAGATTAATAGGCCTTTATCAATATATATATAAATATGATTTTCTTGAATTAAAACTTATACAAGTCACATGATTACAATATAGAAATATTAAAGTAACTGAGGATTCAGTTACTAATCTAAGGCCGAAAACGTTCTATATGTTACCTGCTTGAATAAAGTAATGCATCTATCATACACACGTTATCACCAGTGTTTTTGCTTCAAATGGCCATTATATATTTCCTGTTTTATAAGAATTTATTGAAGCTTACTACACTCCTATTCTATTTTAAAGCAAAAAGTTTCACGTAATATTTCTTTTTTACAAGATTCGCGTTAAAACTCGGTAAAAAATTTTTCATGTATAAAATTGTATGGACATATTCGGTATATATATATATATATAAATTTGCATAATTAGATATAATAATTTTAATTTGTGTATAAGTATATACGATTATATACCAAAACTTTTTTAAAAATATAGTAAAAATATAGTTTTTTATAATTTTTTGTATCTAACATGATACTAATAGAGTTATTTTGTAATTTGATATGGAATATCACTGAAGCCATTCTCTTAAAAAAGAAATTCTCCGTGTATAAAATTGTGTGAACATATTCGGCACATATAAATTTGCATAATTAGATATAATTATTTTATATTTAATTTGTGTATAAGTATATATAAAAAATTTTTTACCGGGAATTCTCACTTTGTTACCTCCTTGTCAAAATCATTTACTTCTTTAATATTTATCTAATTAATAATGAAAACTAAATATAAATAAATAAATAAATAAATAAAATACATATGACAAGGAAACAAAAATTGAATATTGCCTTCTAATTTGTTGTGTCTTACTTGCAATCGACCGTCGGGCATTGACAAGTGTAGCACTGCGGTTTCAATATATTGAAGTACGTCTTTCCGATACTATTGGAAATTAAGGTATCAGCGTTCTTCAAGCATCTGTAGAACTCATCGTCGCAGTTGCAAGCGGATCTGTTGTCAACAAATTGTCGAGATTCGTTGATGAAGAAATTGAATGAAAATTACTAACGAGACCGAAAATCAAAGAACTGGACGCTGTTTTTTTTTTTTCGTGAAAAGACGTAAACGTGCTAACGCGGTTGAGAAAATGTTGAATTCAGAATTGATCGAACGCTGAGAAATTGTTTTTTACGCGACAAATGTTCTCCGAAAACCGCGTGCCGTTTTTACCTCGTGAAAATGCCGTTGTTCTCGAGATTGCCTTTAGTCTGGCCGGCCAACAAATCGTCGTTGCAGTTGTCGTGCGCTCTGCAACAAGCGTCCGTTTTGTTGAAGTAACCGAGGTCCGACTCTTGTTTCGCGATATCCCCATCGCCGCACCAAAGTGTTCCTTCGAAACAAGAAGAGCAGTAAGAAGAGGACTGTAGACTCATCGTCGATGGGGGATGGAAGAAACAAATCAATTAGCGAATTTGTCACTTGTGAGAGAAGCGGGTATGAGGTTTAAACAAACAAAATCGCTGATGATAATTGCTGAGAAAATATGGCGCGATGATATAATCGACATGCGTGGCTCATTTGCTTTAATAGTAAAATTACGTACGATCGCGTGCATATACAGTCATTAAAAAAAACCAGCCAAGTGTAAAAATCCTTGGGATTATCCCGCGTTCATTAATCACCGCATTGAAGAAGCGCTTTTTGCCGTTATCGGGAAATTTTCCAGTTCTCTTTCGACAATTAACGCGAGAACTTTTCCATTGCTTTGCAATGAGAATGTTTCTTGTTTCTCGTTTTATTTCAATTGGCAGAATTTTTGTAATAAAAAGATCAAAGATTCGCGTTTCGACAAAAAAAAAAAGTCTGTTTCACGGTCTTGAATTGATTTGATCGTCGCTTCTCGCTTCTCCGTGAATTAATTAACGTCGTCAGAGATACAGCGGGATGAAAAATCGACTTGTGGTTTCAACACTGTGTGTGTGTGTGTGTGTGTGTGTGTGTGTTGCAATACGCGCAGTGTTGTACTGATAATTTATCTCGCGGAATTGTGTGTTTGCGAATAAAAAAACTGTATACTAAACTCCTTGTCGGATTACGCTTCCTCTTGTTTTTTTCCGCCGTTTTTTTTTTTTTTTTTTTTTTACGGTGCAACGGCAGTACAAATTGCGGTGTGTATTAGATACAAATGTGTTTCACAAACTAAACAAAACATCTGTAAAAATATCAGTAAATACGATTTTAATATGTCAAGGTATCAAATCCAATCACGCGTGACCGCAAAAAGTCGATCAAAGAGATCTCTCGAGTGCAAAAATATATTCGTACGTTTTCTCAAATAATGTCACATCGTGATTAATTCATCGTTAATGAAATGACCTGATTGATTACTCAATTAAACGCCGTACGTAATTAATCTTCCGTGATTAATGAGCTAAGAAACAGCTGTTTTCTCTCAATCGTCGCCTATTTTTGATGTTCTTTTTTCGTTGTACAAGACACTTATTTAAAATATACTTAAATATATAAATAGTAAAATATATTTTTTAGTATTTTTTTTTCGTAACACTTTTCTCGTTACAAAATTCATTGGCAATAAAGTTGCAAACGTATTTTTGTGATCAGTTGCGAAGCGAAAATTCGCTCGATCTTTATTCTCCAGCGATTAGATTCCAGCACGTGTTACAAATTATGTTCGTAACTTTATTGCCAATGAATAACAAATACTCATAAAAATAAAAAAAAAAAGTGTTTTACGCGCGTCTTGTGCGCGACGTAGTGCAAACAAGGCGTTCCTCAAACAAGCGCGTGTAAATTTTTATTATCGGACTGCCGCAACACAAATCTCGTATCTCGCAATTGCAATTTTATCTCAATTTGTGAAAAACAAATTCGCGACTTGAAGAAACATTGCATCTTTGCGCGTCTTGTTTGATCGCAAATTGATTGTTCTTCTCGAAAAAACACCGTGCCGTCTGTAATAAATTATCCCCCGTGCGCGCGTTTCTTCTTTCTCAACTTCTCTGTTTGTGTATTTCGTAATTCTGTCACTTGTTTATCTGTCGCGTTTCACTTTTAATTGTTAAATGTGTGAAATACACGTGTACGAGTCTAGAAAGATACGCAAGTCTGTGAAAGATAAAAAAAAAAATAAAAATATTTGAAAATCTCTCTTACTTATGTTGGAACAGCTTCGAATTACCTGGGAAGATTGCGCGAAAAGTTTCAAAGTCCTCGGGTTCGAGGAATACAGCGATGGAATTTTCAGGTGATTTGGATTTATCCCCGATGATTTTTTTTTTAATGCCGTCTTCCACTTTGTCAACAGATAGCTTTAACTTCTTCGCCCATTTTTCAAAATGCGAAAGGGTGGTTTCATTAGAACCGGGCTTGACCGTGATATTGTCACAATCGATGTCGCAGTTACCGAATTGAAAGATGACGACGAGGAACAGCGCGAAAATACAGAAGCGCGCCATTGTGCTGTCTATTCAACCTGTAAACCAAAAATACGAGACAATTAGTTCGTAATTTATTTGTTACACTAAGTAATTTTGCAGAAACTATGTTCGCAGATATACGACGATTATTTTTAACAATCTTGAGTGTGCACGTGTCAGTATAAAAATAAAATAATAAAAATATTGCAAATATATAAAGAAATAAATTGGATGTCAGTCTAGTGCAAAACCCAAAAAGTTTACAAGAATTTGTAGCGCCTGCTTATCGTAATATTGCGGCAAACAGTTCCGTTTAATGTCGGAATTAAACAAGTTTTCAGCTTAATTAGTGACTATTTATAAATTTCCACTCAAACAATTGAAACGCATTGTTGTTAACTCGCAAGTGGTGAAGCCATTGTGTCGCATACATTGTCATTGAATTAGACATCTCAAACAGTTATTAATAAACTGACAAATATGCAATTAAAACCATTTGTTTCGTATATGACACCTTGTGTCTCTCAATTTAATTGGAAACAAATTATCTTTACTTGGAAAAAACTCTAATTAGAAAAATTATCATTTAATTAACCAATCGCAGAAACGAATTATACGTGTTGCTTTTTAACTCAAAAGTCTTTCAGAAGTATCACATTTCTTTCATACAGAACAATCCTGTGGTAGAGATAAAAAATACATTTGCGTGTAATTTAGAGCCGTCCATGTATTATTCACTTTGTGACTAAAAAGTCTTCGCGTGTATTTCGCGTGTTGTTTCGTCCAACAAAACCGATTTATTAACTCTTTTAATGTAAATCGCGCGTTTATATGAATTCGTAAGTGCGTTTACATAGTGATGTCTCTTTATGTTTAACTCTAATTGTTTAACAACAATTTGACTGTTCTGATATAAAACAGCCACGACCGACTCTCATTATCCAATAAACAAGAAAAGCGGCGCGTAAATACGAGAGCGATTTACATTTGAATTTTAAACCGTTGTAGTTTAAACGTTGTTTTTTATTAACGACGGTTTTTTCCACGTACACAGTAAGAGTCGTTTTGATCTAACGAGAACAATTCAATAGTTGACGAGTGAAAGTAAAAAAATCATATGAAAACTAGATGCAACAAGAAAAGTTGTACTTTGTTGCGGAAAACAGTGTAAACTTTTTGTTGGAGACGCGGCGATCTGGCAAAAAAAAAAAAAAAAAAATAGAAAATACGTCGTGTCCGCTTACCTGGTTGCAAGTGACTGACGACGCGTGTCTATCCGGACGACTTGAAACTTTGGTTTAAATACCGTCTCATTTCACCGGTGCGGCGCAACTTAATAAATCGTCACCTAACACCTGTGCAAATGTCAAGGGTGGATTCAAGGAGAGGATTCCATCAGTGCTCACAATAACATATATATACATCATGACACATTATTTATGCAGACGATAAACATTTGCAATGAAATGTTGGAGTGGACGCAAGAAAAAAAGCGGCGCAAAGAAAAAGCGCCAAGAGTATTTGAAGACTAATTATAAGCGATATGATCAGCATTTAGAGATTTTGGTTTTAATTTATTTATGCCTCTTCTTTGATATTATTTGCTAGATCATTATACTGACGTTCTGTCAAATCATCGTGTATCATGTGCACACTTACACAAATGTTGGAACAACTTAATTTTTGTCAACATTCTTGCGCAGAACGCGAAGATAATGATACCATCCTAATTAATCGTCAATCTGCAACTATTAATAACGCGCGCTATTTGCACAGACAGAAGAGAAGAGTAAATTTTACACTACGAAATTTAACGCGATTGTTAAACAATATAGCAAACGGTTATCTGTACGCAGGTAAATTTCGTCAATTGGAGACCGGAATGTTCAATTTACAATCACCGCAACAGGTGTGTTAATTCATTTTAAAATCAATGCTACGTACAACCGATAATGTACACCGTTGACAGTTTGAAAAAGCGTTCGGATCTGTTTGAAAAAATAACAAGCATAATATATGATTTGTAAAAACACGAGATTATACGAGACTTAATATTTTACATAACGCTCGCGTTTGCGTCACGCTTTTGTTTACGATTTGAATAATAGTATTTGTTGTATCAAAATTTATAAATAACGATAATATTCTTAAATAACGAAAGTATAGTTTTCATTGAATTCAAGTTAAAAGGCATAACAAAGAGGACATTTTTGGTTTTCGAAACACTGTGACGAATATCAACTAATTATTTGATATCTCTTCCTTATTGCAAGGTGATGTACTGCCTATCTATTTCTTAATGATTTTTGTATGCCACTGAAGATAACTCAAACCAAGAGTCGAAACGTTTGGCATGTTTAAATAAAGATTTTTGTTCATACATCAACACCTAGTATTTGACTCCGTATCGGCCCTTCTGCATATATATTTTTTAAAAGGCATAGTTTCTTTGCTATCAGAGTCATCATCTGCTTCGCCAGTCAGTTGAAGACAAAGGTGTAGATGTTCCTGTGTCCGAACTGGTTGCTCTTGAGATTCATAGTGCGTATTATTTTCTCCAATACTAAGAGAATTATTTTTTTTTATATCTACCCCATGTTCTATATATCAACAAAAGATATAAATAAAATATATAAAGCTTATATTCTTTTCTGTGCAACAGAGCGGAGCTTTTTTACGTATAATCAAGGATAGGATTCCGGCAATGCGTGTAACGAATATAATCACGACGCATTATTTATAAGAACGATAGAGATAAACAACAATCACAATGTTTGAATAGCTGGGTTAAAAAAAAAAACACTTGGATACTAACAATTGGCGATATGATTAACAATCAGCGTATGATCAACAATTTGACTTTATTTATCTTCACTTGTGTCTTTCTTTGCTTATATATTATTTGGTTTTGAATTTCGCTATTCTAAATGTTTAAGTATTCTACACTGCTTCATGGTGTTCATTTTTAAATATGTAAACATATGTATCAACAAACGAAAACAACTTGTCGCGACTAATTCGCAGATTTATCTGCCAACATTCCACGCAGAAGAACCATGCAAAGACTACATATGAAAATGGACGTCCTAATTAACGCACAATCCGCAGCTATAATTAAAAAAGCACAACTCACGCTGTGTGCGCGTAAAAAAAAAATATTTTCTACTCTGCGAAACTCGTTTTGACTGTTAATTAAACAATAATACGTGCATGTTTATATTACAGATAAATATCACCGATTAGAGACCGGAGTGTCCAATTTGAAAGTCACCACACAACAGGTGTAAATTCGTATTAAAATAGGCGCTATTTACAACCAATGAGCAATGTACAAGCGTAGACAGCCTAAAAAATCTTTCGGATCCGTTTAAAAAAATAACAACAGGTACAAAATACGAATTGTAACAACATGATTTTACACAAAAGATTTAATGATATTTCGCATGCAGACTCGCGTTGCGATTCACGATTCTCTCGCGGTATCGTCCGTATCACAATTCCCGCTATCTTGCGTAACCACCGCCGTCACCTGTTCCTCAAGAGCGCGACGTTTTTGCAGACGCGCGCATCGCGGGCAACAGTGATTGCGCTTGGCCCAGCAAACGCGATGATGCACCGCCAAGCATTGTTGACAAATTACCGAGCTTGCGTCCCAAGGATAAATGATCTCGTCGTTGCCGCATATCTCGCACAAGTGTCCTCTGAAAAACAACAGCTTAGTCTCCTGAACTTCTTGCTAAACAAGTGGAATTCAATTTTTTCAAAGCATTTCTTCTTTCGCATTCGAGAAACCTGTGCTCTGATCAAGTCTAAGCAATTTTTTTGTTTTCTGTTTTTAATAAAATACACACCTTGCCTTGCAGAGTTCACATTGTTTCGTAATGTGCGCGTGCATTGTATCGTACGCGACACGAAGCTCGTCCAGCAAAGCGCCACTTTGAAGATCAATAAGATCTTTTATGGAGTAATTGCCGGAGTTCTCGATCATGTGCGTGCGCAGTCCGATTTTCCACGGCATTCCCTGAGCGCAAGCTTCCACGCACAGGACTAAGTATCTTTTCATCATCTGCATCTCTTCTCGTATCCGCTAAAATTTAAGTTTTGCATATTTTACGTGCTAACGCGCAGTTTTTATTCTTTTACGCGAATCGATGGTTATCTTTATTAATCAGTACAGTTTTATTTTCTGGTTAACAATAAGTGTTATCTTTGTACAAAGCTACGTTGCTTGGCTTTACCTTCACGAGCGATAAATCTGGGACCAGAGTAAAGAGTTTCGGATTCAATTCCTCTAGCGGTAACACAGAACGATCTTCGAGAAGCATCAAAAGCTGCGCCGCGGCGCGGGACACCAGACGCGGCTCCATGTCCCAGTTCCTGATCACCCTCGCGGGAATGACCATGGCTGTGTTCCAATGGCACCTCTGACAGTAATACAAGCCGCTGTAGTCGCAGAGTCGTGGCTCCACCCACGCCGATTCTAGAATTATTGTTTATCACAGTCAATATGGTAATAAAAATATGCACTGTCAGAGTGCATTAACTAAATACAAAATTTTCAAAATTATATTCAGAAAAAATATAAATTTCTCTGAATGTAAATAACTTTGTAAAGTTTGCGCGGGAGACATAAAAATATCCTAGATGTTAAATGTAAATGTTAAGTTGAATACCTGCGTTCTTAAACGAATTGCCGAAGCAGGATAGTGATAATCCTTTGGAGAAAGCTTGCAAGACAACAATTACTACTGTTATCTCATATCTTGGTAAGACGAACAAAACAAAATGTGAAAAAAAACGGACCATTCATCTACTTTTGTTTATTGACTAGTAAATACAATTATTTTTATCATTCTGTGGAAATACCTACTGAACGTTAATCGCACTTTACATTCTGCGCAACGATAGTTTTGTTTCGAGAGACCCTGTTCCGGACAGATTTCCTTTGTGTGAGTGTAACCGCCGGCCTCGCTCGCGATCACGTGTACACACACGCGACACACGTTGCTCAGGCATTTCCAGTGGCAGCTAAATTTACAATCTGAAAGAGTGAAATTCTTTGTCATACAAACTTCTCAAACGTTAGAATTCAGTTGATTGCAAATTTAATTCTCAAATAATATTTTCTCAGTGTCTTTCTTGCGTGAATGGAATAAATGCTTTTAAAATATACACGATCTACAAGTGTATTAGACCGCATAATACTTGCCGCTGCACATGTACCACGACTGCAGCATTGTCCAGATCGCGCCGCTACAGTGGTCACAATAAACCGAACTGGACGTGGTAATGTAGTACTTCTGCGGTACAAAGTGATGTCCTAGGATTACTTGAGTCTCAAAGAGATTCTGATCCGAGGTTTCACGCAATTCTTGAGCGCGCAAACGTAACTCGATCAGTCGTCGGACGAGCCACTTTCGCTCGTCCGAACACTCGGCGCTTTCCAACACCATCAATTTGCACTTGCGTACCATTTCTTGAAGATCTTCCTGAGAGGCATCCTAAAATAATAAATTGTTTAGCTTTTATTCGTTCTCAATACTGAAGTAATTAAAGATTTGATTTCTCTATAATAGAGAAAAAAACAAGAGAAAGAGAAAAACGTTTTGATCATTTGATTATAATCTTCTTAGTTTTATAGTAGATAAAATTATTAAATATTATATGTAGTAATATGTTGTATCAAAGATATTTACCTTGGATAATGAAAGTACAGTTTCCACCGACTTCAAGCTAAAAGGAATAGTTCCCTTGCTATCAGAGCTATCATCTGCTTCGCCAGTCATGTAGTCAGATGATGATGAGGGTGTAGATGTTCCCGTGCCTGAACTGTTTGCTCGTATCCTTGACTCATAGTGAATATCATTTTCTCCAATATTGGGAGGATTACTTTTTATATCTACCATGTTCTATATATCAACAAAAAAGAAATGCATATAATATATATAAATTTAATATATTCTCTCCCTGCAACAACAGAGCTTTTTACATATAAAATTGAAACTTATAAATAAATGTAACCTAAGTACTACATGCTCTGACAATGCAATTTTAAAAAATTACATCTTCAAATTTAACGTACACGTATTGAAAAATACGTAAACTTGAAGAATAAATACTCACCAATTTTATAAATAAGCTTTTGTCTTCTTTGGCAAGTATAAAAATGTACAGTATTTTCAGATGCGATTATTCATTGTAATGTATATGCGAACAATTTGACTTCACATTTACAATCAACGAATGTGAAAAATTAATAAAATTTACTGTTCAATTTCCAGAAATAAGTCAGATTACATATTGATGTTGTTTGTGTTTATTATTAACCCAAACACACACAAGTGCCTAGGAACAGTTTTGACAAGTTGTTGTCCTTGAAACAAGCAACCAAACCTAACGAAAGTTCCTAACAGTCGAAAGAATAATCGTCAGTGTAGCCAATCGTATCGATTAATTTTGATCGAGCTTGAAATTTCCTAAAGGTGCAAACTCATAAGTTTTCTATTCTTTTTCATTACACATCACTTTTGTAGTTGTCTGATAATTGCAACAGTTTTTTGATAATTTAAAATTACAAACAATTATATGATTGTTTGTAATTTTGTATTATTAACAAAATCTTTGATACAAACAACATATGAAAAAATACTTTAATTAGAATCTATTTAACATTTCTATATTTTTATTTAGTTTTTTCGTCTATTTAGTTACAAAATAAAAAACAAAATATACAAAACATTATTTTGTTTTCTAAATTTGCTTCAGCAAAACAGATAAAATCTTCTTATTATATAATCGTAATTTTATTTGTAAATAAAATTGTTGAAAAAATCTAATATCACACAAAACTATAATTAAACTAAACATCAAACTATACAATTTATCATTTTAATTACTGTAAGAAAAACTACAAGACGCGCGTTATCTTATCACAAGTTAAAATGTATTTTAAACAAGTTTATATTCTTCTTGAAACAAAATAATTTGTTACACAAAATTGATAAAAACTTTAGTTCACAAGAAAATTCCACTTACGTGCGTGCGTGTTTGTGTGTGTAAACTTATTTTATTTCTCAAATTTATTCTTTTCTAATACAAAACAATTCGATTAGAAAACAGAACAAAGAAGTTACAATAACCACCAACTAAATCAGCACATAGAATTTATAACGTGTGCATAATTAATATGTACAAAAAAATTGCGTTCTGTTCTACATAAACAACATAAATATAAATGTTTCTGAAGTCCTAAATTTGTTCATTTTAAGTTTCATACATATTTAAACGGTAGATCGCTGCTGCCGGGATATAACGTGTAAACATCGGGAGTTGCTTGCGTCGAATTCGAATTCCTTCATGCACGGATATTTGGAAAAAGACATCTGAGAGAGAAGAGACAGGAGCGTAATCGCGAATTCAATAACGTACATATATATGGCAAAAAAAGATTGTTTTGTTTTTTTTCTCTTTTTTTTTTTTTAATGTATACCTTATGCGATACTTTCAGTCTTAGATATAGGAAGCATACGTACGGTTTGAAAAATCCACATTTTCCTGCTAGAGAAGTTTGTTTTTTTTTTCGCGCGCTACACTAGATATCGATTTTTCTACACGCTAAGCTCTATACAAAAAAACCTGGCATATACAGAGACAATCGTGGTTTTTTGCACATTCACATTTCTCGAGTTATTAATTTTTTTCCGTTAAAAATATGCATCCTACGCATTATATTAGTACAATCGTCCTCCGTTTACTCGCGAGGATCGTATCTTATATAAGCGAGAAAAAGAAAAAACAATTATCGTAAAGCTAAAAAAAAAAAAACAGCATCAAGATCTTCTTGGAAAGTCAAGTGGAATAATACAAAATTACTTGGAATTGAGAAAAACGAGAGAACGTGGTTGCTAAAAAGATTTGTTTAACGCTACGTTATTGCTTACAATAATCAGGTTATATATTATTATTATTAACAAAGTCGAACCAAGAAGAGAGTTTAAAAACGTAACTTTCTACACGAGGTCTGAGTGTGTGAGAAATTTTTATCGCGCAAACAAATTCTAACAAATCTGTTTTCTGGCAAAATCATGGATTCGTGTGTCGTCAGTGTGCGAGTCTCTCCGGTCATTGAGAATCGCACTCCTGAAAAATCTAAATTTTGTTTTTTTTGGTTTTTGTTTTTTTTTTTTTTGCGTAGATCTACACACATGAATTATACATAATCGGTGTTTCTCTCCGGTGTCCTATTTACATACGCATACATAATATTTTGCATAATCGTATATTTTTCAAGAGGATTAATGCCCGATCGAAATATCGTAATATATATGTCAGAATCATTTGTGAAGAGACATGAACATATTTTAGAGACAAATAAAACGAACTTTTTGTTGTTGAACGCGGAATGTCGAAAATGTGGAATGGCCCGATTCGGCACGCAGAAGAAAAAGAAACTCGTGCTTGGCTAATGATTTTTTTTTTATCATCTTTTGTTCAGGAGAAGAAAAAATTGTAAAAGCGAAAAGAAAATCTTCTTTTCTCGGCCAAATGTAGACAGACATTTAAAAGTGTATTTGCGCGTTCAACAACAAAGTTCGTTTTATCTCTCTCTAGAATATATTCGTGTCTCTTGCACAAGTGATTCCACATTGTGAATGTGAAAACTGTGGAATGGCCCAATCCGGCACGCGGAACGAAAAGAAAAGCGCGTTCTTGACCATTGATTTTTATTTGCTCGTCTTTTGTTCAGGAGGAGAGGAAAAATTGTAAAATAAATAAATTGAAAAGAGAAAAAGACAGTCACTCTTCTTTTCTCGACCGATGAGAACAAATTTAAAAGTTCATTTGCGCGTTCAACAACAAAGTTTGTTTAGCGTAACCAGCTTAAAAAAGGTTGTGGGGATATATGTCAGCAGCAAGCCCAAACAGAACGTAGGCTGTCGCCCTAGTGAAGGAATACCTCAGACTGCTAACACCAGCAGTGAAAAAGATTTGACTTGCGCAAAGGAAGGACCATGTCCTGTAGGCGAGGAAAGTAGCCGTTTTAGTTAACGGACAAGGGCGAGGGCGACAGTTGGTCGAAAGCATGGAGGACCCGGTGGAGTCGTGCGCAGGTGATTCAGTGGACAAACTGCAAGCTCAGCAGAAAGATGTGTCTGTAAAAGAAATTGTTGCCTCCGACTATGGAGAGTCTCTGTTGAAGCAGGGCGTCTGCCTTCATTGAACTGAGGTGTTCTGCTAATAGATCGTGTAAAGTACCAGATTCTACAGCACAGTATAACGTGCGGCCTTTATTAGAGAGTAAGTTTCAGTACTGGTGGGCTGAAGCTTTGGCCTTAGCTCATAATAAAGAAATGCACGCCAAGAATGGCAACATACATCCTATGTGAGATGAAACTCGAATCACCAAAGAAGAAATAATGGGACTCACGCGAGGTGTGGGAAAGGGAGATCGTCAGGTATATGCTGCGTGAGAGTGAGCAAGAAATTCTAGCACAGAGGCGGAGAAGTACCTACAGAAGAGCTACTTCTCCGACGCTAATCACGGAGGTAGGACATCGTATGCTGCGTGTGACACATTACATCAGCCAGTTGAAGAGCTAATTCGAGATAGATAGCAGGCACTTTAGCGTGTTCAAGTCGCTGGTGGAACCAAAAGTGACGACGAGATTAAAGCCTCAACATAAAAAAAGAATGGACCTACCCAGCAAGAAAACCAACAGCAGGCTGGGTCAAACTGCGGATGATGGAGTAATAACATGCAGTGAATATGAATCCATTTCCCCGGATAGAATTGTTGTCAAAGACAGAATTTTCTGTGGTATATGCCGTTGGAAGAGATAGGGGCAAGAACCACGGAAAAATGATAATTACGGACATTGGCGAGGCACTTGTTAAAGCGTTAAAAGATCCGCACGACAAAAGCGGACTCATCAACTTAAACAAGAGCAGCAATATATTCAATTATGTTGTTGGTGGGGCTGGACTCGCACAGGCATCAATGACGCCAAAGACATATGATTGGCGCGAACTCGGTCTAAGGGTCAGCCTGTATGATGAAATAAGGGAAAAAAGATTTCTCTCAACCAACTGGAGTAGACTGGGCTATTACGAGACGACAGTCGTCGCGCTTAGTGTATATACCAAATAATAAGGCATGCGCCTGGAGATTTACAGCTACCGCGATCAACTGACGGTATGTGGATAAGTTTTTGGCGATGGACACTAGCGCATGTTAGTAGGACCGAGAACCGAGATATCTCCTAGAACCTCAATTCTGAGGATGTAGTTAGTCTTGGGGTGAACGTCTTGGATTCCAACGTAGGCAGGGATATATAGGGTGCTCTCGCACTTAGATCCGTTAGTTACGGATGGAAAAACCTCGTATGTGCAGATATCATGAAGAAAGCGCGGCGGGAGGTGAACCTCGAGCCACTGAATCTTGGAGACACAAGGATCCGGAAAGATGTAACCGGCGGGTTGCTTATGTTTTCACCTACAGGGGAAATTTCGGTGCACATTCTAAATACGAGCCCTTCGTTAGAATATCTTCGCTCGTAAACAAGGCCAGGAAGATGGTCTTTGTTGCGATGATCGATAGTTTCACTTCCATCAAGATCGATGGCGTGAATTTTGATATTCCTATCCTTAACCGTCTCCGGAATATTCCAGACAAGCCCTTACAATGTAGGATCATTTGTGCAAGAGACACGAATATATTGTAGAGAAAGATAAAACAAACTTTGTTGTTGAACGCGCAAATAAACGTTTAAATCTGTTCTCATCGGTCGAGAAAAGAAGACTGACTGTCTTTTTGCGCTTTTACAATTTTTTCCTCTCCTCCTAAACAAAAAACGAGCAAAAGAACAATCAATAGCCAAGCACGCGTTTTCTTTTCGTTCTGCGTGCCGGATCGGGCCATTCCACATTTTCCACACACACATACACACACACACGTGTGTGTGTATATATATATATATATATATGGAATCTTCATCTCGGAATGCTCCGTTCGATGATCAAAAAATCATATACACATTTCGCAACACGCTCTACACGGTTTCAGAGAAAGAGAAAGAGAGAGATATCTATCAGTGTATTTTGCAAAGAGACGGTACAAGGACGTGTCGAGAGATCGAAGTCTCTCTCGACAACTCCAGCATGCGCAAATACCGTGTTTTCGTCGAGAAAAAAAAAAAAAAAAAAAAAAAACGAACGGAGGATGGAGCAACGAAGGTACCGCGATATGTAGAACAAAATTCGAACTTAATACTATTTATACTTTGGTTTGGAGTGAAGAAAACGAATGTGTCTGCGACGCAACGGCCACACATTCGTAAAAGTAACATATATATATAATATACGAGAGCGAAAGTGGCTGGGGGGAGGAGAAAGAATGTGTGTGTGTGTGTGTGTGTATGTGTCTCGAATTCATTTGTTGATATCATTTGAAGAAAAATCTAAGAGAAAAAAGCACGCGATTATATATATATTGTATTATTTATATATATAGAACAAATAATGATTTAATGTTCGTTCGTTTTTTCACGAATTACAATGATCGTTTGTGTGTTTTGTGTCTGTGTGTGCAACATGCGTTATCGAATATACTCGGTTTGTACTCTGCAGTACTAACAAAAATAAAAAAAAATTTTTTAAATAGAGAAAATACCCTATATATGCGGGATTTGAGTTTCGCGTCCGTGTAAAACGCAGAATTTTTCAGATGGGAAATTGGAAAATAAAACCGAAAACAATGATATTCTCGCAAATTTGAGATCAAACACGATCGGATACTTTCTAATCTTTGAAGGATAATATACGGGACATATATATATATATATATGTATTACGCTCTTATTTCTCTAGAAACGTATATTTTGAAAGACATACTAAAACTATATGCAGGACTCTCCATAGTCCTCAAGCTCGCCCCTTCAACTATATATATGTATATATGTATGTATTATATAGATTCTCTATATTTATGCGATTATAAATTTTTTTCTCTTATATTATTGACGCAAAAACTTGCCGAAAACTTTTTCCAAATCATCTATCAGAGTCGAGCATGATCTCGCGAGCAAAACTCAAAACCCGCTGGTGTCGACAAAGAGATTACACAACAAAGGGGGGCATCGGGGACGAGCTGTGGCGTTTTCTTTTTTTTTATGAATTACAAGAGATTTCGAAAACCCAAAATTCGTAACTTACACTCGTTTTAGAAGCGTATCGCGGGAAGATTGTTCAATGCCCAAACTATATATTTATGCATATATATATATATAATATATATATATATATATATATATATATAAACTTGCTACGTGTTAAAAATAGATAACAAGGGCCAAGGAATTATAGAACGTAATAAAAAAAAGAAATAGGACGAGACGTTATCGTCGCATATATACTAGTTACGATATACATACAGAGGCTCGTATCATAAGATTAAAAGAAAGGGAATAGAACCTGGTCGGAGAAACGCGAGCATCTCACCTCGAGCTAAACGCGAAACGTTACGGATTACACATGTAGGCACATAAAGCGTCTTTCCGCCGATATGTTTGGTTCAGCACAATCAAAAAAAAGAGAAGGAAGGGAAAAGAGAGAACACTGTTGGCGCTATGTTACATCGAGAACCGCGTCGGAGAAGGAGGTCCGTCAGTTCTCTCGCGTAAAAATTACGTAAGTTACGTAATCAACACCGGAGTTCCATCCATCATCGTCTCTTTTTTTTTCATCATTGGATCACATCTCCGACGTGAGAAAATACATCAACTGCCAAAGTAGGATTTCGCAGAAATACTACCTTTTCTAACGCGCCACACATTATGTCGACGCAAGTGGTCGCGCATCTCGTCCGATTGGTTCTTGTCTTGATCGATCACGTACCGCCGTTGCGCGTCGTGTCTCAGCAGGCGTACCAGGACAAAAGCAAGACGAGAGTTGACATTTGCGCGGAAGCACGCCGCAAATGGCATCTCGGGAGCACGAGGAGAGTCAGAGCGCACGCCCCGACGGGCGTAAAATTCACAGCTCTTCGACAACGAGGATGTTTCGCGAGAAATTCAGATTCTGTGAAACACGAACGATCTTCAGTCTCTCGTGCGACCGACGACAAACTCTCGTGTTCATCTGTGATTGTCCTGACTGGTCTGATCGGTCCGCACCTGATCCGTTGATTTGCTCTGATTGCTGGCGTCCGACAGGGAATCGCTGTCGCTGTTGGGCACAACACGCCCCGGCGACGGACTGTCCACCGGTCGGAAAGAGAAACCAGGCGAGTCAGCGCTCGACAACGACTCCGGTGTGCCGACGGAACTGATTGTTCCTGGAAGCGGGCTGGACAATGCATCCAATCTACAGAAGAAATGAATTAGGAAAAAATTAGATTCTCCAAAATTTGATTGACTTTGAAACAGCCAGATAATGATCAAACAAAGATACCTGGATGCGACCGACGTCAGTAAGCCGGAGGTACGTTTTATTGGCGGTTGCAAGTTGTCCAATCCGCTCTCGTCCAGTTCGAATTTTCGTTTGACCGGACCCAAGCAGCTCGGTCTTATTGCGATAGGACTCAAACTGCGCCTGTGTGTTACATATAAAATATTAACACACAAATGAAGAAAATAAAGGCTAAATAAAGACTAAACTTTTCTTTGAAGAGTATTTTTTCCCGGACTTAATGATTTATCAAATTTCCAGGATTATTCAAATAAGATAGGATAAGTTTTTAGAGTTTACAGCAAGTTAAAAATACCTCGTGGCAAATGCTTTTCTTGTGGGACTAGGAGACAAATTGTTCTTCCAAATGTGTGGAATGCTGGGAGAATAGCACTGTCTCTGAAATCCAGATCTAGTAGGTGATGGCGATGAACACAGCGGTGACCCGGTAATGGATAGATTCAAGCTTAAAGGATCTAGTAGCCTTTTTGGTCGTTCTAGTTTGCTAAGTTGCTGTACAGAAGAGTCCGAGTCCTTGAACGACAGTCCTTCTGCTTCCAAGGTGAGATCCTCCCATGACTGCGATATCTGCATAGCACTGTGAATTTCCTTCTCGTGGGCCGCCTCCTGGCCGGCGACGTCTATGCACTCCTCTTGTCTCAACTGGCTAACTCTTGGCGTCAATCTAGGAACGTTACCAGGACTCTGAAATCGAATGAGAGGCTAAGGACGCACAGAGGGATTAGAGAATTAAACAATTGTTAAGCGTGTTTTGTTTGTTATAAAATTAAATAAAACATTTGTATATTAACTACATTATATAATTGACAGTACAGTATTGATTATATGTACTATGTTTAAGAGATAATTATGTATCAAATATATTACACAAGTATAATGTTGAAACAAGATGTAAATAATGAAAAAAAGTGTTGTAATCTTACACTAGTGCTGAAGCGTCGTAAACGGGGCGAATTCGGAAACACATTGTAGGCTGACACATCCCTGCAAGTACACAGAAGAAATTCCAAGTGAAAAAAAAAAACAGAGAGAGAGACAAACAACAGAAACGTATCATCGAGTCTTTGGCAAAAATCGCAGCTAATTTTCTATCGTCGTTTCGCAATTCAGACTCGGGGGATCGTGTTTTCGGAAACGAGCGAATGAGATAACAAGAAAATGAGCGAGACGGGAAAAGAGCGAGTGACATACCTCGACGACGACGTAGACGGTGTAGTGACGGACATGGTCGCACTACTGATCTCGTTAATCATCGGTGCGCTACTGGATCGCTTCAGGCTAATGATCGGACAATCAACGTCCATGATTGCCTGGGCACGCGACAATCCCGGGTGTCGTGATACCTCGTCGTGCGGCGGCGTCCACGTTGAGAGGGCACATAGGAGATCCCGTGACGCGAGCGATGTCCCGAGACAGTCAGTCCGACAATGTCGTTCTCGTCGTCGTGTTCCTGTATGCCGTGTTCGAATCGCGGTCGTACCGGGCTGATCTCGCGCGAACCTTTCGATTATCAGGCGCAACCCTCGTGTACCGACCGTTGCACGTTGTCGTCCGTTGTCGTCACCGCGGACACGGAGCGTCTGACACCTATCGCGGAAGAGGGGTGCGCACGTTCGGGAAAGCTCTCGCGTTCACGAGACTCAATCGCTTGAACGAACCAAGAACCGACCGCGGCGTTTCGTTAACGCGCGAGTTGAAGCGAACGATGAAGATGAACGAGAGCAACGAAGCGAGAGAGGAAGGACTGGTGGCTGCCAGGTGGAGCGATCTCTCGAGTTTGAGGGCTCGGTCGAGGCCCGGAGCCGAGCCGAGCGCGAGGCAGGTAAAGTCCTCTTCTCTCCCCCTCGGTCTCTCCCAGTCACTGTTCTCGAGCCAGGGCCTCGCGCGCTGTGTCGCTCTAGGTGTTTGAAACAGAAAGATGGGATTGAAACATAAAAGGGAATTGGTTTCCGGATTTGTAGACGGCGTTGCTAGACGGATTTTCAAATTGGACGCATCCTGTCTATGTATCCTCGTCGTCGTTCATTCATCACGGCCGGGCCAGTTCGACCAACCCTTCCCGGTTAACTCAATTGGTTTGATTAACTGTTTTACTCGCGATTGGCCAATTCGGCTAATCGGTTGAATGCGATTGGTCAATTTCGTCGAGTTAAATCGAAACGATCGAGTTGAAGACCGGAGTTGGTGAGACTGCGCCCCCCCCCCCCCCGTGTGTAATCCTCTAACCCGCAATTGGGTGTCCAACTGTTGTGCGCTCAACTAGCGAATAAACACGCGCGATCTCTCGCACAACTTTTCGAAATGAACCTCGCAGGTTTTTTTATTATTATCGTTATTATTATTACTGGAAATTTTAATTAATGAAACAAATTTCATTTCGTTAAAATTGAGACATTGTCGATTTTTTTTAATTTTTTTAACAATACAAGGAATTTTCAAAATCTAGAAATTCGAGTCGAAATGCGCGCGAATGTTTATAAAAGATAGTTTTTGCGCGCGCGGAAGCTACTTAAGCGTTGTAATTGCATTAAAAACAATTAATGTAATTAAGAAATTGCGTAATAAAAAACTGAAAAATTCAACGCGCTCGCAAATAAAATTGCGTTTAACGCGCGTTTCTACTTTCGTCCGCGATTCAAAATTATTTGCAAAATTACGTAAATCGCATTTTGTCTTCGGGAGTTTTGCTTCGATTCGATTAGAATTCGAGACTAGTAGACCCTCCCGGGGGATGGGAACGATATTTAAAAAGATTGGAGGAAACGTCGGGATCTCTTCCTTTTCGAACATTTTCAAATCGAATTTCCGACGGCGGAACTTTTTCGTGAAAGCGCGAGTTTTCTTTCTCTCGTATCGAAAATTGGAAACCGCGGGAGAGGGAGAGAAAACCCCGGGCACATATCCGACAATTTTGCGGGAACGGTAACACAGCGAGAGATCGGCAGCGGTATGTACCTTATTTTAGCGAATCGTGGATCGTGAGACTTGGACGAATTTTTGTTTCACGGCGACGAAAAGTCCCGGGAGTCGGGGTGCCTGATCACGCGGAGAACGAAAATGTCGCCTGTACGTCCGATTCTTCTGCCGATATTCGCTCTGTCTGTATTCACGGTTCCCGATGTGGCTTCTGCCACGCCAATCATCAACACAACATAACCTATATTTGTTCCCGGCCATGTCGAGCCCCGTCGAACGATGCTGTCGCGTTCGACGGGGACCGAGCATCGTCGGCTCGAGTCATGTTCGTCGACGACGGCGGCGACGACGACGTCTTCGTCGCGTGTTCGACTCGATCGCTGATTTGCATTTCGTCATGCTAGTCTCTCTCTCTCTCTCTCTCTCTCTCTCTCTCTCTCTCTCTCTCTCTCTCTCCTGTCCTGATCTCGGTATCAGATTTTGTCTCGCGCAAGATTTGTCAATCTTATATTGTATTAAGTAAATTCAATCACAATTTAATTTGTTTCAAATAAACACACAGAGAGATCAGTTGCTTGAATGATGAGTTTCAGACTTTGTATTGACCGAAGAACGGTCACGAATCTATTCAAGATGACTAGATCTTTGAGCGACCTGTGCAATGACTTAGCTCTTTCTGATTACTGTCGCAGATTGTTGATCGCTCTCTCTAAATAATGGATGTAAGCACCGGGGACGGTGACGACGTATCTTTTCACCTAGGTGAGATGTTTGACAGTTACGAGGAGCTGGAACAGAAACTTGACAGATTCTCTAAGCAGAGTTTGGTGCATTACTGGAGGCGCGACAGCAGAACTGTGAGCGGCGCTCATATGAAAACCGCTCGACCTATTAGCGAGAAGTTGAAATATTATTCTGTCAAATATGCTTGCATTTACGGCGGTCAAAAGTTCCTGCCACGCGGTGCTGGCAGAAGACAATCTCAGTTGGTATCAATTTCTGTTTGCGAATGATTGTACATTGTTACAATCAAATGTACATTGGTGTTGATACAATCTGTGAATATTTTTCAGATCAATACGAACAAACTGTCCCGCACACATCATGCTCCGAGCTTCCAAGGATGGCACGAAATTGGAAGTGACCAGCGTTAACAATGAACACAATCACGAAATCTCAGAGGCATGTACAATAGTTACAACAGAAACTTGCTCTCCGTCGCAATTTTAAACACGTTTGATACAACATGATGAAGACTTTTTAGAAGGAATTTGTATTTTACAGGAACTGTTTAAAAACCTTCCGCAAGAGAGAAAGCTCTGTGGCGAGATCAAACAGGAAGTTCAGGATCTCATGCAGTTGCACATCGATCGGAAGAGATTGAAAGAGTACGTGCGATTGCGCACTAACAAGATACTGCGATCCAAAGATCTGTTCAATATAGCCGCGGCCAACAAGCAGAAGAGACACATCACGCCGGAACGGATGTGTCAGTTGTTCAAGAAGATTCTCGAGGCGGAGAAAATGGAAAAACTGCAAGGGAGAGACGGCGGTAAAAAGAGAGATCTTGAGTCCGACACCGAAATAAGACAAACCATTAAAAGAATGAAGAAAGAGGACGAATCCACTTGGAGTCAAGAGGTAACGCGTCATTTTGATTATCAGATCTCGAAACAACTCGATTAGTTATCTAGAACAGAGCCTTCCAACTGATCACGCGATCGCATAGAAATCTTATTGCGCAAACCGCACGCCGTGCGCGAGTTGGAAGGCTCTGATCTAGAAGCACGCATAATTCAGAGTTTGTTAATTTGAAAGCGGACCGTTCAAATGAGAGTAGGAAAAATAAAAATGTTCTGTCTCAGGGATTGTCGGCAGCGGAATTAGAAGTTAGCGAGGGAAACGACGGCGAGGAGTCTTACAGCAGTCAGTTGACGCAGGAAGAGGTCGGTGAAATCAATACGAGCGAAGGCGAATTAATAAGAACGAGCACTGAGGGCGATATAATGACGACCGACGGGGAAATAGTAGGCGAGCTTGTGATGGAGAGCAACGACCCGTCGGTGATAGTAGAATCTATTGTCAATACAGACGGTTCTGTTTTCGTTGACGAGAGAGAATTCAATAGCTATTGCGAGGATCCCCTGACGCATGCGGTGGACGAGAGCCAATCGCCGAAGCCATGCGGTAATATTCGGTTTTTTTTTTTTTTTCATTTTACAGTGATTATTTGTACAAGAACGAAAGAAGAGAGAAAGAAAACGAGAGAGAGAGAGATTGCAAATCGGAGAACATTGAGGAGATTTGTTTTTTTTTACCGTATCAGTTTTAGATATAGAGACCATCGTTCCAACCGCCGCCATCGAGAAAGTTGCGAAAGGAACGTCCACGTCGCCTAGTCACAAGTCGCAAAGCGACACGTTGGTGCTGCAGCAACCCCCGAAGTCACCCGACAGTTTCGACGAAGCGGATTCGAGAATCTGGATTATGAAGGAGAGTCCCACGATAGAAACGGAACCGGAAAGTCGGTCCGCAAGTGAGACGAACATGACCAAACTCGACGACGAGCAGCAAGGCGCGGAGACGTCCAAGGCAGTATTGTCGGACGAAGCGAATAATCAGCTACTTCAGGAACAACTGACCGTGTTGCGCGCGGAAAAGGGAAAGTTGCATCAAGAGACCGAGATGCTGAAGCTGAAGAAGGACAAGTTAAAGTTGCAGATCAGATGTTACACGAACAAGATAAAGAAACAGGAAATGGAGACGGAAAAGCTGAGGCTCGAGATCAAGCTGCTCCAGTCTAAAGTCATGGAGGACACTAACGATGTATCCCACTACATCTTTGTGCCTTGAACTCTCTTTGCTCTTGTTGTAAAATATGTACAGATATTTACTTATTATGTGAGCTCACATTAGCAGCGTAAGTGAGATGCGATCATTGATTGTATTGAGAACAGATCTATTTCTTCATTGGATATAGGATAGGATAAAATGCGCGAATATATATATATGTTCCTGTAGTTCGTTTTTGCGCTAAGAAGCTCTTGTTCTAGTCTCATTGCTCGCGAATTGCCACGAAATAGGATGATGCTCTTAGCGCAAAAAAAAAAGAAAAAAGAAAAGTTCAATACAACCTCTCAAAACGTACACAGTCGGAATCGACCAACATCCGAAAACTTATATATTTCCCTTTTCCCTTACTCTTTAACTCACGTATGCGCAAAGACTATCTGCGCTAATGCTAGCGCAGTTTGTAATCGTGCGCGGTTTTAATCATGCTTAGTGGTGGGAAAAGCGATAAAGGGGAAAATTTATACGGTTTGAGAGTTGATGCGTATACGTTGTAGAGTTCTATACATCTTATACACATCTTATATAAAAAAAAAATAAAAGAGGATATCATATAAGTGATACAGTCAACAAGAGAGGAATAAATACAAGAAACAAATAGCTTTGTATGTAAATTTGTAACATTTGTGTACGTTGATTTATGTAAAAAAATTTTTGTTCTATAATTTCGAACATACAATATATATATATTAGGTCTACCGGAAAGTTCTGTCTGTTTTTGGAATAAAACAAAATACAAATTTTTCTTAATTTTTCAAAAATGGGATATACAAATTGCCCTCACGCTGGCAAGAAATCATTAATAATATAATGGCGATTATAATAAATTATAATAAAGTTTATTGACGGTAAGAAAACTTTGTATTTTGTTTTATTCCAAAAACGGACAGAACTTTCCGGTAGACCTAATAAATATATTTTTTTTTTCGTATAAAATACAGGACACGATCTCTAACGATCACATGTAGAAAATTCTATTATGTATAGCTAATTTTTTTATTATGTGTAGCTAACTTCTATTATATATAGGCTAATTTACTACTGCAATAAATTAAATTTTTAGTTTTTCGGCTATATTTTTGTTATCGATACAACAAAAGACAGGCCGCAACGTTTGTAAAAATTCACGACTTTTTGTTCATTCGACCGTTGGGAGTTTCCGCCGTACGCTGTTTTTTTTATGTCATAACAAATGGTCGATCTCCGATTTTTGGTGAAAAATCGAGATGAGAATACAATTAATGAAGAAATAGAAGTTAATAAAAATATTAATAGAAATAATCACAAACAAATTAGTAAAACAAGTACCTAATAATCGGAAGATCATGTGATATTTGACGACAAAAAAAAAAAAAAATGACTACTGCTCGTGTGTTTGCGCAACTCAGCGGAGCGCTGTTCAGCAGAAGATCCATAAATGTTTTTATTAAAAATGATTGTTACAAGCAAGTGCTACCGTCACGCTCGCATTATGTAATTAAAAAAAAAAAAAAAATGACGTCGATTCGTCTGTCGGTTTGAATTCCGAATTCGAACGAACCGCCACCGTGTCGCTTCCTCTCTCCCTTCTACCGTCGTGGGTGTTGACGATAGCACAGATGGCAGCAGACCACCATTCTCTCAGTGCCTCTTGGAATTTTCATTTTACTGAATCGCGCTGGTTCGAGTTTGCACGCGAACGCGTTGTGATTCTCTCACGCACGCTTGAATTTTGAGTTTTTCCTGGACCCGTTCGGATTCAAAATGCTGCTGAAACCTGTGCTGCTTCTGTGCTGGACCTTGGCGATTGTCTCAGGTAATTTTGCGAGAATTCCGTTTCTCTCGCCGCAGTAACGGCAGCTGGGATATTACAAAGCGCCGCGCAACCCTTTCGGCGCGACGTCGAAATTTCTCGTCGTCCTTGGTGTCGCGAGACCGATTGATCTCTCATGACAAGAGATGAAAACAATCTCGTCCCGGATCTTATCTTTCATCCCGATCGCGAGAAATTTCGATCCCCGCGTATCCTCGGCGAGGTTTCGGACGTAACGATATCGGAGAAAAGACGCCATGATGAGAGAGGTGCGGAGAGGCGCGTTTCTCGGTTTTTCCGCACGTAAATTGTCATGGAAAATTCGAGTGCATCGGTACTCGCGCACCGACGCGTCGCCGAGATGCCGATCATTCGGTGCCAAGCGCTGATGATTAATCGCCGAAACGAACGTATCATGGCGCGACATTGGATGACATCGCGACGCGATCCGGAGAAAAAGGAAGCCAGGATCGCGCGCATAAACAGCAGTATTGTGTTACGCGATAAGAAACTATCGCTTTGTTGCCGGACGGGATTTACGTTACGGATTTATAATCGCGGGAACGCGCGACGACGCCTCTCTTCTCTCGTTAAAAAAAAAAAAAAATCATTACCGTGAATTTAAATTGACTATTTTAGTTTTTTTTTTTTCGGCGAATCGCGCGATTCTTCGCAGAAACCGGTTAATCCCCATCTTCTTTTCTTTCTGCGTTGAACTTTGCACCTTCTTTGTTTAGTTGACAGATACTTTTTTCTTCGCACAATTTTGCGGCGCAGAAACGCTGAATATTTATGAATTTATTTGACGTAACGGCGATAGTTTAACATTATTTATTTAATGCGACACAATAATAAACGTATAAAAGTATTTTTATTCTAAATTTCTGCTTTTCTTTACGGTATATACTTCTATCTTTCTTCCGATCAAAGATCTTGCGATATTATGCCAAAAAGATGAATCATTACGATAATATAAAAATACAAATTGTGCTTATGTAACTGAGTGTTATGTTTTCAATAGCTGACACTGGTGTTCGTTCCAATGCGGCTGATGGAGATGTATCCGCAATTACATCGGAAACCTACAAACCGCCTGTCAGCACTAATGATGCACAAACAGATGTAAATGTTGATGTTAAAACTCCGCCGAATGCAGATCCCAAAGAGTCTTCAAGTGTCAGTCCACACACAACAAAGCCAACAATTTCGACTACAACTTCCCACATAACTACAACCCCATCTACAACAACTACATCCACAACTACATCCGCGACTACAACTACTACCGCTAACACAACTACTACAACTTTGGCTCCTACAACTCCAGCACCAATAACTCCACTTCCTCCGCCAAGTACCGGCAAGTGGACGTTAAAAGATAAAAATAGCACGGTGTGCATTATCGTTCAAATGGCTGCGCAGTTCAATATTTCTTACACCAATGCCAACAATGTGGTGAGTACACGGAAGGCACATGACGTATATCCACAAAAAAAATACCTTGTTAACAAAATTTTCAGAGTATCTCGAAACTAGCAAAATCTGGTAACAAACACAAGTGCTTTTTTTTTTATAGAAATTTCCTAGCATCGCAATACTGTTTGTATAAATTTCTATAGCGAGAGATCATTGTTGCAAATTTTATTTTTCTTGCAGACGATCAGCAAAGCGATGGATGTACCTAGCAACAGTAATTACACAGGAGACTGTGGCAAAACCGAACAAAATCTGACGCTGTCGTGGAAGTCGCACAACAATTCTAACAGTCAGAACAATTTTACGCTTCATTTCGTGAAAAACGAGACGGACAAGCATTATTCTCTTCATCACTTGGAGATCTCTTTGGCACCGCAGGAATTTCCGAGTAACACAACAAGTACGATGAAGTTTTATCTTCAACAAATTGCGTCATACTTTGATATTGCTTGATTTGTTTTCTTTTCTAAGAAGAACTTTTATTTCCTTTTTAGATAAGACCGTGACTGTGGTACATATGGCGCCGCAATTCGACACCGGATTAAGCAACTCTTACAGATGCCTCAAGGAACAATCGCTGAACTTAACTCTCCCGAATAACAACGCAACTATCGGACACATAAAAGTGTCACACTTGCAGTTCCAAGCTTTCAGAGGTGACAACACCACAGTTTTTGGTCTGGGTAAGTGTTGTTGTTTCATCCGTCGCGCGCCACAATTGAACGCGACTATACGATCCGTTTTTTTTTTTTCGCAGTTTTTTCCGTGCGTTAGCACCGAACAAATCCGCGTCTCTTAATCTTATTTGTTCTAGTCGAGTTAATGTGTTTCTTTCTTATCTTTTTCAGCCAAGGATTGTTCGTTTGATACGCCTGACATCGTTCCCATAACAGTGGGTTGCGCATTGGCCGCCTTAGTCTTTATCGTATTGGTTGCGTATCTCTTCGGCCGCAGGCGAAGTCAGACCCGCGGTTATCTTAGCATGTAAACCGAGCAGCCGGTGTAGGCTGCTTTCTTCTTTCTTCCTTTATTTTATTATTTTTTTTTTTTAATCGTTAAACTTGTAATTTTTTTATGCTATTTTCTGTTTATCGTCGAATCGATCATCTTAATGGAGAATTTAAGTAGTTTATTATTTTTTGTGTTCTATAGCCACGAGAGGGAGGGCTGTGACACGTTAAGAGGAACTATAGTTTATACGTTTATAAAAAGGTTATCGCGTCGCGTGCGGAAATGTGTATATTAGAGAAAAAGAGACGGAGAAAAAGAAAAAAAAATTATATATATGTGTATACATACATCCATATCGCGTAGCGGTACGATATTGATACAGAGAGCGGGTGATAATTTCGCAAAGCGACTGTGCCCCGATCCGCAAGGGCGATACTCTTTCCGATAAGAATTTCAAAGTAACGTAGTTAAGTTGTGTAAGATCTGCATTACGTCTTCGCTGCATCCGAGTTTTTTTCGATTGGCAGCAAGGATTTTTTTTTCTTTTTTTTTTTTTCTTATCTTCCAAACGCGATCATGGCGTAAAGCAACAGTAAAGAGGATTTCTTTTTTTTTTTCTTTTTTTTTTGTGTACGTTGTAGCGTTTGAGAACTAGGATGTGTTGAACACTCGTCGTTCTGAAGCCATAGTTTCCTGTGTATTACGGAGAAATATTTACATGTGTAAAACGCGAAACTTCGCCCTTATATGTTCTTCTGTTTTTCTTTTTTTTTTTTAAGAGAGTGAATCGTTGTCCTGACTTCACCACGATGCGACATTTATGTTTTTACGTCGCGCGCTTTATGTATATCGGGTTGCGGTTCGATTACGTCTCGTATTCGAATTCTTTTTACTTGAAACGTACTACTACATTGCGGTAACAAGCCAATTGTTTGTATATTAGCCCTAGGTGTGCGTGCGCGCGTGAGTGAAATCGGAAAAAGATACTACTGTGTGAAGAAGCACGAGCTGAGCTTGGTAATATTGAAGAAAAAAAAGAAAAAAAAAAGTCAATGAGTTGTGCTTCTTCGGAAATGAGCACACACAGATTTTTAGGTACTACGAAAGGTGCAATCTTTTTAGACATAAAAAAAACAAAATGTTAACTTCAATTATATATATATATATAGTGTGAGTGAGCTGTAACTCAATATCTTTAAACAATACATGCGACTTTTTTGAAAAAAAAAAAAAAAAAATTTCTTTCAAGAGAGATGAGCGAATTTGAATATGTTCTAATGTAAAATGACACAGTTTTGAAAACGAAAAATAAATATACATACTGCTTCTATAGAAGTGCTGGTGATTTTCTCAATGGCAAGTTCTTGTGCGCATTCGAAGAAAAATTTGTATTTATAGAAAGTAATTTCCCGTAAAGTAATTAAACGCTTAACTCGAATCATTTTTCAACGGCTTTTATCTGGTTCGAGATAACATGTGAGGAAAAAACAAATAATGAGATCTGATGATTTGTCTCTGTAAACAATCTAGGAGAGGAAATTGCACAATCTTACAACAATCGGCAACAAAAAAAGCATTTTGCTGATGCACCACCGTCATGCACCGTGCTGCTTCATTAACGTTTATATTAATTGTGACAAGACTGAATGACTGAATAGTTAGGTGAAAGTGGAGGGCAAAAAGTAAAATCGAACAAATTTAACCATAATTGATTACAAAGTGCTGTACATAAAACGAGGTGGTGATGTACTGTCTTTTTGGATTATGTGAATTGAATGTACTCTGCGGCTAGGCAAAATCTATTCATTATTCAACAATAAATGAGATATTTCAACAATCTGCCTGTATCGTCCTTCCAGTTTTTCTTACAAATCATGAATCACGCGTTTTGATTCGAAACCAAGATGCGCACAACCAACAAGGACGCGAAAAAATCCGACTGTTTGCAAATTCAAACATTAGGGTGGCTCTTGTATTATTCATAACAATTTTTTTTAATTTTTTCACGACACCCAGAACGGTTCCAAGTGCTAAAAAAATAATCTGTGAAAAAGTTCACAGCCCAATTGGATAACGGGAAGAGGTGCTCCTGAGCTTTTAAACAATAAAGCAATAAAAATTATTTAAATTAGTTGTACACAAATAAAGTAATGGATAATAAAATGTATTTCTGACCCAGATCTGCAACTTTTGTTTAGCGTGTTTTTCAATACAATCAATAAACCGGAAGAATTGATTTATTACGCATTTAAATAATTGTTTTAAAGTTCAAGGACCCAGGAGCACGTATTTTTCTTGTCCGATCAAGGTGAAATTTTGCACAGATTATTTGTTTTTAGCACTTACAACCATTTTAGAGAGTGCGATAAAAATTTAAAGGTCGAAAATAAGCGCTACTCTATTCAAACGTGCTTTGCTCCAATAGGCCGGATTTTAATACACCTTCGACACGCATGTGTGAGAATCCTGGTAAAAGAACGCAATTTTTATTTCTCACACGTCTGAACACAGCCTTGTTTTTAAAAGAGAGAGCCAATCTTATTCGATTGGCTACATGAGCTTGTTTCTGAACGCAGTCAGGTGAGCAATATCGGGATGTTCGCTTTAGATTGGCAGCCTTTATCCGAGCGGTGCCAAATTCGCGCGAAACAAAGTCGGAGTTCGAGGGAGAGCAAGAACGGTAGAGTTTTACGTTTTCATTACGTGTTTATCGCGTTTAAAGTGAAATTAGTGAAAATGGCGTGAAATACACGAAGATATTCTTACTAGTGAACACATCGGAAACGAGAACGTGTCATTCTCTCGTTAACCAGGAAGTGAAACCAACTACGGTTGTAAAGTAAGTAAAAGAAACACTGTCTCTTTCTCTCGCTCTATATATATATATATCTCTATCTCATTTTATTGATATAAAACAAACGTACATAAATAACGCATAGGGAGATAACGATTAATAAATAGTACAAGTCAAAGTGAATTTATTCAAATGAAAAAAAGAAAAAAAAAGATCATTGCATCTGCCCGTTGTGGCCGTAATATCCTCTACTGAATGATTACAACTACAGATTTATTAATATTTACTTTGAACTCCGTGTTTTTAACACTTAATCGACCGTCTCGAGAGTGGAATCTCCAATTCGCGTAAACATCAAAGCTCACTCACTCTTGCGGCTCGGTAGCCGCTAAAAGCCGCTTCCGATCGATAAACGCTGGCAGCAAAAGAAAGCCGATTAATAGACTGCCGGTTGACAAACGAAACCCGTTCATAGGTTTCAGATATCCGGTCGATTGAGCGTCAAAAGAAAAAAATTTATACACAAATTTTTCTACGCCTATTAATTCTTTAGCACGATATAAAATTTGTGTGTGTGTGTGTGTGTGTGTTGTTGTTGTGTGTGTGTGTGTGTTGTGTGACAGTAAACTATATCTAAGTACATATATCTGTATGAAACATCTCTATCTATATAAAATTTTTTTTTTTTTATAATTTGAAAATTATTATAAAGATATCAGGTACTCCGAGGAAAGAACACTACAATTTAAGATATCATCGGCTTCCACGCGTTATTGTCGTTCTGAATCTGCGCGGCGGATTGCGTCTCCGATTGCAGCATGGACGCTTCCGGTTTGAAGAAGTCAATGATGGGATGATAGCTGTAATTAATTCTCTTCTGCGGCTCCTGGTATTCGTCGTCGAAGCCGCCGTTCTGCAGTCTCGACGTAGCGTCCACGTCCTGATCGTACGGCTGACTGTAACTAAACAGAGAAAAAGGATCAACGATCGCGCAATCAGATGTTAATTGACAAATTGGATAAGTTATAATGAAAAGTGCATGCTCACCGAATGGTGACGGAGCTGTTCATGGGAGTCTCCGTGTAATCCTCAACGTGGGAGGTGGACTCCCGTCTAAAGGGCGGCCTGTTGAGTCGGTTCGGTCTAGTCCCCTTCGTCAACGGTCCTTTGTAACCCGGTGCTCGCGTGTTGGGCGCGTGCTGCTGCGGCAATTTGTCGTACGGCCTCGGGATAGGCGCGGGCTTCTTGTGTCTGTTTCTGTTGGGAATGGTGAAGCTGGGCCTGTTCGTCGGACTGACCTCCAGCACCGGCTTCTTGTTGCTGGATCCTGTGGCAAACGGGACGTGTTCACCGAGATCGTAGTCGACTGGTGAACGAGTGATAATCAAGGACGTACCGAGGATGGAATCGAAACTCGAGATGGGATTAGGAAACTTGCTGACTTGATTGAGACCATTGGGCTTGTTTATGTCCTGGAAGTCGTCCTTCTGATCGTTGATCGTAGCGAAGTCCGCGCCCGGGAACGTCTCCTTCTTCTTCGGCGGGGGATCCTTCTGATGCGGCGGAAAGATCTCGGAGTAGCCGTGCACGTGGCAGCTGCAGCAGGTCGGCACCTTGAATATGTCCATGTGCAGTCCCAGTTTCTGATCCCACGTCAGCAGCCGGTGATAGTTGTAAATTTGCACGCAGGAGGAACGATAGTTCTCGGAAATGAACGAGCAGCTTGATTGCGGATTGCTAAAAATAAATTATTTTATACATCATCGTTCAAAGAGAAAGAGAGAGAAAATAATTTAAAGATAATTTTGAAAATAAATACAATAACAAACGCAATTATTTTTTATATTTGCATCTTTTCGTCCAGTAAATTATTCATTCGACGTATAATTTATCAAAAGTTTTTTATTCTGCTGATTAAAGAAACGCCTTACGTAAATTGCTAATTGATGCGCAAATAAATTGCCTTTCGCAATTTAATTCAGACGTTTATTAATACTTACGAGCATTTTTCGAGTCGTATCGTCTGGGTGTGTTCACCTGTATTTATTATATACTTCCAGACACCGGAAGCGGCTCTCGCCAATTGCGGGCGGGCGTATTTGACAGTTGACGGACAGGTGAAACCCTCTTCCACGTTGTCGAAGGGATTGTCGGATCTTCTGTGAACCGGAGACGTGTATGTATTATACGTGGTGAGTAATATAATGCGAGTGAACAAATAAAAGAAATTTAATTTTCACCTTTTGATTTCGTTACTCTCGTATCTGTTTTCGTAGCGATTCTCGTATTTGGTCTCCAACGGCAAAGGTACGGGCAATTTTTCCTCGGCACTTCCCGCATCTTCCTGCGCCTTGTAATCCGTGAGCAGTGCCGCTACCATTTCCTTGTTGGATCTTAAACTCCTCATTATCGCCTCGCTATGAAGGTAAGACCGTTGTTAAAATTTTTCTCGCGAAAGCGAACGAAATAAAAAAACTCCGATATGTGCAACTCGTTAATTTAACAATGCCGTCACAATGATTTTTATAATTACGCGCTCTCGCTGTTTTTTATGTACGTCTTTAAAATTGCCGCCGTGTTCTCGGCTCTTCCGAGAAGAGAATCTGCGGAAAGTGAAAACTCCGCGGAGCAATTAAGACGAGTCCGGGAGAATTTTTTATCTCCCGATCGTGTATGCAAATTCACTGCGTAACAATGTCCGTCATTAATTCAACGCCGAAACGAAAGTTCGGGGGCTGATACTCACTGCGGATAATCGTTGGCCTCGAGACACACTGTCTTCGTGAAGAAAGTGCATTCGTTTTCCGTGGGCTTCCTTTTCGGTTCGCTCGGCCGTTTAGACGGTCGCATGACGGGCGGCCGCAACGGAACTGCAAAAAAAAAAAAAAAAACGATTATTGTTTTTCGTCTCGTGATGCGTTTGTCGCGCGCAAACGCAGAAGAAGAACGCACAAAAACTGACCTGCGTAAACGTTTCTTCTGTTTGTCGCGGACGGCCTCAGGGGTCGCGACGACTTGATGTGGACGGGTCGTCGTCGATCGCCAGTTCTTATCAGTCGCAATTCCTGCGCCTGTAATTTTGAAAATTTGTCTCACGCGAAAAAAAAATTATGTTGGATCGATTATTCTGATTTTTCCTTGATGTTTTTTTTCAATATATAGAAAAACTTTACTTATATTAATTCGTTAATAATGTGCGCGACACAAAGTGTAACTCGCAATCGCAAATTCGTCGTGCGAATGTTTCAAGTCGCGCGAATATATTCTTTTCGCAATTATAAGCGCGTGGCTGCGCACATTGTCTGCGCGCGCTGACCTTAATGATCACTTTTACGTAAGTTTATTTAGGAGAAACGTCGTTTAATTACGCCAACAAGTTCATTTCGCTACCAGATTCGTTTAACGCTCGTTGATAATTAAGATGAAAAGAAAAAACAAAGCCTCTTATATTTCGCTATGCAAAAGAATGAATCAAAAATGAATCAACAGCATCAGTTCAATATATCCTTGATGCAAAATCAGTATTTATAGAACTACACACAGCAGATAGTTGTTTCAAGAATCTCGATGTTAATTAATCGCACATTCAATTGAACTATTTATTTTTGTGACAGCCCGTGATATCGATTTTAATTGAAGCAACTCCATTTTTTTTTTTTAATGCACGTGGACTGTCACAGGACCAGTCTACTTCTGTAATTAAGCTCGCCGTGATACTCCGTCCGTTGCTTATCTGCGCGTTCGACCGGACGAAATAAATCCGGTCTATATATCTGTACGCTAATTAATGAATAGAAAGTCAAGATGTATTCGGCACGGTGACGCGCGAGATCGTTCACGAGACGAGGTCCCTACGACAACAGACGTCGCAATAAAATATATGTCGAACGCGTGAAAGTACTCGCATATAAAAGATGCCGTTTATAAAAGATCGACGCGCGAACTAAACTGTTCGCAAAAAAAAATCCGCGAGAGATCTGAACATGATCCGATCCGCGTGTTAGTTGCGAGAAAAAAATTTTTTTTAATTAATAATAACAAGAAGAAGATTCTTCGGGCTCAGGAGTCTTTAGACTAATGAATGAAAATAAATTTGTATTGTAAGAGCCGTTTTGCAGGATGTTATGCAGAGAATGTGCTTAATTATATATATATGTATACACATATATAATTTGAAATAATTTTTTTTCTCCATATAGGATGCTGCATCACATATATATATGAAGGACCCCGTATACCTCCCTAATTTTAAAATATTGCGAAAAAACTCCTTAGCCAGGAGTTTAAATTTTTAGAGATTAAAATTTGTTTAATCGAAAAAAAACTGTTGTAAGATTCGCGATAGAGATTTTTCCGCTGAAATCTCTCGCGAGACAATTTTCGATCGCAGAGTTCGTCATTTTTCACTTCGCATTTTCGACCTCAAAAAAAGAATGTATTATATAAGTCATCTCGCGATTCTTGTATGTTAAATCAACCGGCGCCGATTCAAGCGTCATCGGCTGTTTAGAAATCGCCTCGTGCGTGTGCGCGCGCGCGCGCGTGTGTGTGGAGAAGAGCGAATTTATTACACGCGTAAAATTCAATATTTATACAAACTGTGAGAAACTCGTTTCCCCGTCGGGGAAAACGCACGTATTTAATCGGCGGGATAAATCTCGCTAAAATTTACGACGTAAGCCGGACGCGTCAAATTTCGACTTTCTACATCGTTCGAGAAAAAGTCGGCGCGATAGATCACTTGCGTACAAGAATCATCAACGTACATATATTGTATAGAAAATTGCTTTTGGCAATCTCATTCCACGACGATCTCACCTCGGGTAATGCCTCGGGAGTCTCGTCATCCCGCTCGTCCTCGTCCGAATCCTCGGAATCCTCGGATACGAACCTCATCGTCATCACGTCCGCGTTGCTCGGCAGCGTCAGCTCCCTGCTCCCATTCTCTCTTCTGTTGTTTCCGTCGACGGGAAGCGGCGTGGTGGAAGTCGCGCTGGCGGAATCGTTGCTGGACGTTCTCGCGGAAATCAACCGCGCCAGCTTCTGCGGCGGAGTCGCGCGCGTTCTCGGTGTTACCGCCTGGGAAAAAAAAAGGAAAAACTCGAACTTTATAAACTAAGAAATATATTATCGGTCATCCGAGCCGATCGCAGGATGTTGTGCGGAAAACGGTATATATATATATATATATGCATATATATATTTGTTCGCGTGTAAATTTTTACGCGCGAGTTTTTTGAATTGAATATCAATTCGAACTTTTTTCATCCTCCGGCAATTGTTCGCAAAAGTAATATTCATTCAGCGAATGTTCTGCGATTTTTGGAACGGGAACAATTCGTAACGTGCTACATACTTTGCGCTTGGATGTGTGTCATGAGAAAAAAAGGAGCGCAAATCAAAGATGAATAATCTCGACAAGTAATCTCTTTCAGGAGCGCGAACGCGCGCTCCGCTCGCGTACATACTTCTTGAACTTTGCTCGTTTTGTTTTTGCCGTCCTCGCCGACGAGCCTGAGCGACGCCGATATCTTCTCCTGCGCTTTCTCGCCATCGTCGACGTTTACATCGCCGGCGTCCTTCTCGGCACAGATCGGGGACAGCAGTGCGACCGTCTGGAAAAGACGTACGAGAGACAAAAAGTTATTCCCGCACCCGCCAAACGAACCGTTAAATTACATCAGTAACGTTATCTGCTCGGAATAATAAAAAAAAAAAAAAAACCGGAATTTTCGATTTTAACGAATTCGCTAATTGGCTTCTAAGGTCAATCAACTTTTGTGTTTAATCTCTAATCTCTGTGGCGGTGTGGCAAAACTTAAAAACTGTCAGCTCGCGAAACGGTACCCGACGCGGAATATCCGACTGAAATTTTCGCAACTAAATTAATACGTTAATTAATATATATCTGATATATTTTTAATTAGAGAACGTCGCGCGCGCGCATATTGTTTTAACGAGACGCGAGTGAAAACCCATTGGCTCGCGCAGCAAGAAGGGACAATATAAAAATAAAAATGCAACTTCCGGAAAGAAACAATCGTGTAACGAGCGTGCGATGATCCCGCTATACGGTATAGCGTATATATATATATGCGCGCTCGGGAACCGCAGGGAAGCGTAAATTACGTTACGCGTCTCTCGTTTGCCAAGAGCGAGCGAGCGAGCGAGCGAGCGGACCGATTATCGCGCAAGAGATCTTCCTTTTTTCGTTGTTTTTTGCGAGAAGGATGTCCGTCTCCGAGGAAACAACGGGCGCGCATTCGTTGCACCGGAAGTTGCGGCCACGCTTTTTGCGCGGCACGTGGGAGAGCTCGCGCGCTCTTTTTGTGCAATCGTTGAGAAAAAAAGGAGCTCCTTAAAAAAAAAAAAAAGAGAATCCCCCGCGTTCGTGAAAGTATATACAATACTTGGTGTATACATTCCGATCGTCCCGATGATTGATGATCCGTTAAATACAAGAGTCTCAGGCGCGTAATTTATATCACACGTGTATATAATTATCGCGGAGAGAGACCGCGAATTTCGTGAAAGTTACAAAACGATCGCGATTTAAATCGACATAAAAGTTTTGGCGATCATGTACAATATAATTAAGCGACGCGCGCGATAATCGTTTTTTTCTAATGTAATTAGCTTCAATCCGAGTAGTTGTAATTATTTCAAGCGAGATCGCGATCTTTTTTTTTTTTTTTTTTTTTTTTTTTTTGAGAAAGTCGTCAACGTTGCAAATTTATATACACTTGCTATGTGTATTCAATGAGCCGAAGAGAACGAGATCGCGCTCCTATCGATAATATTCTTCGAAGTTTCGCATAAACGTGGATCGATCGAGCCGCAAATTAACTCTCGTTAATTCTGTTTGTGCGTAATACACAAGTAAAAAATAGATCTCCCCCCCGTATCTCTCGGTCAAAACACCGAGTCGGCGACTAGTTTCGCTAATATACGATCGAACGCGGCAAAAACCGGATGATTTTATGCGCGCACTACCTAATCACGACACGCGCATCGTGCGATACGCATCGTGTAACTAGCAGAACCGAGTTTGTAACGTGATCGGCGAAGAGAGTTTTATTGTTATTTAATTTTTAACGCACTCCGATGTAAAATTTCTTGCCGAGTAAAAAATCGACATAGTTTTTTATAAACCTGGCGTACTGCGATTTGTATAATTAGATTAAAGAAAAAAACATGTTTTCTTTGTTATCGTTATTTATTAGACGCACATGTGGTTAATGTTGTTAATTTTCGATAAAAATTTATTTGCGTCTATTTATCTACTAATGCAAAAAATTGAGCTACTAGTTGCGAAAGTTTTTTGCAGGACAATTACAAGATTATTAATTTTCCCTCTTTTGTTTTTCGATCGACGAAACGATCTGGTATAATCATCGAGCCGAACAGACGGATTTCACTGACATTCAGATGTCAGCTTTTCCAAGCAATCAACGATATCATCGCGTGACTGCGTGCGAGAGCGCATCGCGATACGAGCGTTTTTTCCGTCGAGTCTCCCGGAGAATTTCATATTCATCGAGCTGATAAAAAGGCTTTCGCGCGAGAGCGAACTCGGTGGTGTTTCCACCGCGCGTGCGAGGAGGTGTCTATTACTTTTCCTCGTTCCGGCGAACCGCCGCGGATCAAGGTCGCAGCAAAGGTTGTTCCACTTTGGACCGGCTGATGCGGAAAGCGTCACGCGGTCGTAAAATTCAAATGATGGGAAATTAATTCTTTTTTTTTGTTTTTTTTAAACGAAGCTAAGAAAGTGGAACTTGGAGCATCTAAGGCAGCCAATAACATTATTTCTTGCGATAACAAATTAGTAGCCTGAGATAACGATCTAGTGATTCCTTCGCTACCGAACTGTGCAATCTTACCAGCAGCACCCAGCACGACCGTCCTATCCTCATCCTAAGGAGCCACCAAGATTCATTAACAGCGTCAGTATCGATCAGCAATCTACCACTGTCACTGTCACTGCAACTGTTTACAGAAATCTCTTCGCACTGTCATGGATCGGTGTCGTTCAACACTCAACCAAGGGATTGTCTTCAACATCCGCGCGCGAAATTGCTCGTCCTCCAAAGCTACCACGAAGACTGGCGCGAAGATCAGGCCGAGGATCAGGACACACGCAACGAAGGACCCTCTGTTGCGGAGGGTACTCTTTCAGCACCGATGTCTGTTCGGCAAATCTGCGTCCAGCCGATCTGTGCTCTCTTCGAACTGGCGCGAAACGGTAGCTCACCTGCTCCCGTGGTAGGAGACGAAGAGCCTCCCCGTGTGGTCTACGCGTGGGGAGAATGTAGGAACCCGGGATCTCCCCCTCGTGCAGCCGTGACCGAGAAAACCGGATCATTGTCGGGTTGGTGGATAAGCGTGTCGTACCGAAGAGAAGGAAGAAGTCGGCCAGCCGAGCTCCTCCTCTACGTCTGTATACACGAGAGAGCGCGCGCGCGCACGCTTTACTCTCGGCCGAGACAGCGTGCAGCATCTCGCACGCTTGCGTATACACGATGATATACCAGGTGTCCCGGGTGTTTTCGTTGTGTGCTTCTGTCATTCTATTTGTTATTTTTGAACAACATTATATGTCGTACATTTGAAAGAACAATCGATTCTGATGAAGGTTTTAGATTATATCTGACACAAAAGCAGTTTCAAAGATCACACGAGAAACTCTCTCTGGTACTGTTTTTTTATTTCAATAAACTTTATTTAAACTTTTGCAAAATCAACTGAATTGTGTTTCTGTTTGTAAAAAAAAAAATTGCTATCTTCTGAGCAAGTTCACAATCAGTGAATTTGTAAGTGAGAAAACGAAGTAAGAAAACGGAGCGAGACACCTTGTGGATCGTGGTTGTACATCGAGTTAACAGATGATCAACACACGCTGTTCTTGCTATGATTGCTATTCCGGATCTGGTACTTTCGATGTGATGCTCTCTATTGTATCGAGAAAGTTTTTCCTCGCCGTCGATCATCATCGCGATCTTTTTGTCGCGTGCGTGAAGCAGGTGACTTCACAGATCTACTACGTGTACACGGACGCGTCTTCGGCAATAACCTATATAAAGATAGAAAGCCGGCGTTGCTTCTCACAAATTTTGTTGCACGATCCTTGCTTTGTAATATTATGTAAACAGAAAGTTTTTTTTTTTTTTTTTTTTTAATTCAAACATAGTTTGATTTACACGCAAGTGCACGCGAACGCTTTCTACGCGGGTGGAGTGCACCCGCGTAGAAAAAAGTTTTTGTATTACATGAGAATCGTTTAGTTTCATCGTCTGCTGCTTTTGACGAAGGCAAAAAACACGCTAATACAGTTTTTACACAAAGTGCATAGAATTTGTCTCTCAGAGATACAGAGAAAGAATATTTAAGATATACGCTCAATTTTTTGCGTTTTATTACAAAAACATATTCGCTCGCACAAAAATTCACACGAGAGAGCTTAACGACTACCTAAACCTGTTTTACGTTTTGTTTTACGATTGATATATATCGACGTACGAAGAGACCCAAGTCCGACCGATGAGATGTTTTCTCTATGATTGCCACTCTGCGTCTCTTACTTTCGATAACGCGATAAACTGCACATGATTGTTTAGAGAAAGTCTCTTTCAATTTTAGATTTTCTATGTGACGGTTTATCGATTATGCGCCTACTCTTGTGAATGAATACATCAATCTCCAAATGATTTCAGAAAGTATATCAATATCAACGTTTGTTACTTAACTCGAAAATTTCTTTTGATATTGTTTGAAAAAAACTGACGAACGTAAGATCTGAATAATTCTTGTCTAATTTGTATTTTGAGTGAATTATTGTAAAATATTTTAAGAGCTCGTAATAACATATCTGTTCTCTCTCTCTCTCTCTCTCTCTCTCTCTCTCTCTCTCTCTCTCTCTCTTTCTCTCTACATTCGTAATATTTTAATTTATAAGCAATGTGAGAAAAATTGTGACAAAAATATCGGTTGCTTAAAAAAATCAATTGTTGTTGAAAATAAAAAACCACATTTTTCTCTAAAAATCGGTGTCTCGCAAAAGAGAATAAATTGTATAACGTTACTATTAATGTGATTGCGAGCGTAAACTTTCTCACCCACAGATTAAATCACATAAAATTGCTTGGAAAGCGCACACCGGTCGCTGTAATAATATAATCGAGCGATCTATGTAACACACCCACGTGAAGAGGTAAACTGGCGAAAGTGATATATATTTTGCATACGTTGGTATAACACATTTGCGTGCATCTCGACACGTTAAAAAAAAAAAAAAAAAAAAAAAAAGAGCCGCGCGATTACTGAGATAGATACGCACGTTGTAAGGGAACACTTTCTCACACGTTAATTATATCTCACGTTCATTATGATTGTCATTTATAATAATACAACTGACTTAACGGTGAAATCTCTTATGAGTCTAAAAGAAGACTTAAATGTATACTCTGTAATTAATTAATGCACGTACGTCATTTAAAAAAAAAAACCTTGGAAATGTTTCAAGGCGATTTTTTTTTCGCGAATTAATTGAAATTTAATTTAATTGAAATTTAACTCACCGAGAGAGAGGATCGCGTCTACGATTTCGTTATATTTGTTGAGAGCGTAATAATACACATTTTGCGCGATCGCGTTTTGCGTACGCGATTTTTGCAATTAATTAACACACGTATTATTTGAGAAACTTTGAAAATATTTGAAACAATTTGTTTTTTTTACCCGCGAATTAACGTTAAATTAGAACTGAAATTAAACTCACTTAGTCGCGTCACAAATATACGGTTGTGTATGTTTGTTGTATGACCGTTTTTGATCGCTGCAGAAGTGAAACAGATGCCAAGAGATCGGCGCTGATGTTCGTCGCGAACGGGGAACACGCTCATGACTCGAAATTGATCACAACTCGAGAAACACGCACTTTGTTTCTAATGACAGCGGCTGCTCGATGACGACGGAAGGAGTGAAAGTCGCATGTACACGCGCGAATGACGTACCATTTTTCACGTACATACGCGCCGACTATACAGCCGGTATTTATCCGCGCTTGTCTTCGATTGGCGACGTGCTAACGCTAACCGTTAGAGAACGTTTGTGCTCAAATTGTTTCGGAGAAGTCGCCGTAGATAGAACACGCAGTTAATCTCTCCTTATAATATATTAACAATCGCTACGTGCTTGCCTACTTTCGCGTAAAAAAGACTGATTATTACGGAACACATTTTCTGTTCTGGGAAACGAAACTCCGCGCAACGTGTCTTATCGTCCGCTCGAGTCTTAATCTGCGACGCGGAGTGTTCAATGTGTTTTAAAATTGTGTGACAATCGAACAATTGTGTTTTACTCGGAGAAAAAAATTATTTCAACAGCAATTAAAAAAAACTGAAAACACATGTGAAAATTACATACTCGTGTAGCTTTATATTTTTTTTATCGTAAAATTTATTAGTCAATATCATAATATTTTATTATATTTTTGTTTTGGGTCAAAGAACAACCTTGTGAGTTATGTCGCGCTTTTTAAAGCACTTTCGTTGAGATTCTTTCTTTCGCGTTTAAATCTGTATATAATTTTGAGTCTTTAATAAAGTTATTATTACAACCCGTAGGGAGAACAAAAATCCACAGAGAAACCTCATTAAACGTCCATTAGATATCGCACATAGGACGTCTAATGAGATTTCTGTTCCGTGTGGGTAAAACTCTTAAGTGTAGGTAAACACACAAACTTTTGTACCAAATTAATGACGAGATCTGCAAAAAGAGAGAAACATCGCGTTAAGTAGAATTGTGAGAGGACACACGTAGCAATTAATCAAAGAATCATTATGTGCGCGCCATGTATTTGAATTTTCTTTTTAACTACGTGAGTTATAAAATCTTGAAAAAAAAAACGAGTCGTCAAATCACTTTCCCGACGGTCAAATATACAGAGTGTCCCAGAATTGCCGTACAATCTCTCGTAGGCAGGTAGAAGGAATAAAACTGAGTCAAAAAGTCCTGAACCATTTTTTTCTAGTATTTATAATAAAAAAGTAATTATTGAGTAAATCAGGCCAATCAGCGCCGACCTTTAGCCAGGCGCACGTCAGTGAGCCACGCGCCTGGTGTGTGTAAGCACTCCGCGCAGTTCACTGACGTGCGCCTGGCTAAAGGTCNGCGCTGATTGGCCTGATTTACTCAATAATTACTCTTTTATTATAAATAATAGAAAAAAATGGATCAGGACTTTTCGACTTTGTTTTATTCCTTCTATCTGCCTACGAGAGATTGTACGGCAATTCTGGGACACCCTGTATATTCTTCAAAATACTAATTAGAGCGTTAAATATATATGTATAAATTTTTCGCGTCATTAACACCGTAATGAGAATTGATCGTTTGTAATTCGTTGACGATGCCGTTTAAAGATAAAATTTAATTTGTTTTCGCGACGGTGATTCTTTCTGCGATGTAAATCTCGTTTGCGCATGTCTTTTCGGTGATTCTGTTCTCGTGATCGATGCGCTCGAATCTCTCTCGCGGTGCGGAGTCTCCTCTGCTCCAATCCGTAAATTAAGTCGCGCGTTACGTAAAAAACCGGCGGTGTTAACAACACCTGACGCGAACGAGCACGATAAAACGTGCTAGACCGTGAGAAACTCTAATTCGGACGTCAAAGACCGAGCGTGGGAAGATCGAGTAAAAAACAAAAACGCTATAACGTATTACACGTGTTTACATTTCTCCTGTAAAATTTACCGAACCGATCGCATAAATCGCTACATCGTAAAAAAAAATAAAAAAAAATAAAGGAACAATTTTGCTACATTTTTGCACCAACTTCGGTTTTCCGGTAAAGAAAATCACCGGTGTTTTGTGTGATTTTCTAAATTACTCTCGCGTGGCGCCGGGATTTGTGAAAAACGGGTTTATTATATTCTCATTTCATTTCTTTTTCAACTCGGAGGAATCTCTCCGATCGTATCTCTCTTCCCTTTCCGGATTCGCGTCCGAATCGCGGACAGGTGAAACAAGCATTACCGCGCGCGGTAATGTGGGTCGCGTGACGACGTTCAAAAGGTTTGATTAGAGCACAAACGGTGTGTGTGTGTGTGTGTGTGTGCGGAGTAGGACATAAATCCATTTATATAAATACCTTCGCGTGTGTGTTTTCTCTCACACACGGAGGTTCTGCGAAATTAAAAAAAAAATGTAATTTTTAAAGCGAGACGCGCACACAAAAAGAAGAAAGTGTATGTGTGTGCGATTGTAATTTATGATTATGGCCGTGCTTGTAAAAGATCGATCGCTCGGAAGCTTCAAGTCCAAGAAGAATTTTCGAAAGTGCGCGCGAACGCGCGATCACAGTTCTTCTCCCCCTCCTCCCCCGTTTTAGAAGTCGTCATCTTATATTCTCGGTCGACGTACCGATCGCGGTACATGACGTATCGTCTATGAAGGTCAGCGTGTGGTTCTAATCTCAACCTCACCGCCGCCACGCACGAAGAAAGTGCGGTATCACGGTCGCGCGGCCGGAAATTGTCGAATCTCTCCAGCCGCGTTTTACATCGTAATTGTTTGTATATATATATATATACGTACATATATATCTCTCTCGCGTCTCATTTCATTTCTAAAAAAAAAAAAGAATTCGAAGTACGCGCGAATTTTACGGGCTTTCCTTTTGTCACGCTTTCTCTCGGTGCTTTAAATCCTTATTTCCCCGTTTCGTTTAACATTCTCTTTATTTATATTTCGCGCACACGGCGCCATTTATCGTCGCTTCCATGAAAAAAAAAAAAAAAAAAAAACGTACGTAAGGAGAAGACTTTAATGTCGCCCTCGCGTGCGCTCGCGTCGGATAATCGAGCCAGGTTGTTCTTGTCGCTTCGTCATCGAGAGCGCAAAGAAGATCCGTTTCGCGAGACCGCAAACGAGAGCCTTGGAAACGTTTTACGGTTATTTCGGGATTTCAGGAATGCGATCCAATTTACGATAACGATCCGCGCGCGGACGCTCGTTGCCACGAGTTCCCCCAAAGAGGGAAGAACAAGTGCGCGCACACGTGGGGTGGATAAAGCGCTCGTCTCTCGCTCTCTTCTTCGTCTTCGCGGACGTTCCCGTCCATGGACGTGCTTGATTGGAAGAGCAAAGATGTATTTATAACTTCCCTTGAGGAATTCAAGAACGAAAGTTGAACCGCGGTTTATATCTTATACACATACATGAGTCGATTAGGCTCTGACCTGCATAGCGCGAGATTAATCGCGCGGTTACTAGATCGCGTGGAAACGACGATCAACAACTTTTTGAGATATCGAATGTATTTTACATCGCGCGCTCTGGTAACCAATGTACGTTTCTTAATTGTTGCTGTAATTTCTACTAGTTTTTAAAATAGAATTGAATAAAAAATAAAAAATAAATTATAATTTCTTAGCTTTTAAAATAATAAATACGATTTCAAGCTCTTATAAAATATAAAATGTAGAAAAATCGTGCGAGACTGCGTCATTTGTTTTCTAAATAATTTTTTTTTGCCACGAAAATACAAAAATAGATTTTCAAAAATTGAAATATTTCGTTATTTTGCTCGCGCAAATAAATTCGACTGTGACAAACAGAAACCGATACGTCATCGGGCATCGTTCCGTTACGCTCTCGCAATTTGTATCGCCCGCGGCGATATCATACAGATCTCAATTAATTCCGTTAAAGCGTCTGGTTTGTGTCTCTTTTCGCGCCGAGATAATCGCCAGATCGATGTCCCGGCTGGCACGCCAACTTGGTTGGAAATCCGATTCCAAGTCGACCTTCGGGCTCCTCCTCTCGCGTGCACGGTTACACCGGTGGCACCTGTAAATCTCCGCTGCCCACCACCTTTCTTCTTTTAACCCGCGCGACTTTGACAAAACGCGCCGAACGTATATTTGCATACCTTTTAAACGCGCCTTTATCTCGTCCGGCGTGTTTATTCGCGCGCAGTTTATTCCCCCGCGCGTCTGCGCGGCGTCCGTCGCGAACGCGATTTCATAAATCACGGCGACGAAGAAGGCAGAGCCGCTCGCAGAACGCGCCTGCCTTCTAATTGAAAGAGCAGGAAGAAGCTTCGGTCTTCTCTTCTCCCGACTCGATTATCCAGGAAAAACGGAAGACCGAGATTTCCGCCGTCCCCCGACTTGAAATCACGATTTCAATTGCCGCCGCACAAAGCTCGTTATCTTGCGCGAAAACCTTGTTCTTTTAACAATTTTTATAATTTAAAAATTACGAAATATAAATTTTGAAATATTTTTTTCTCAAGTGGAAAAAATCTATTTTGACATTAAACAACTTAGCAGTTGTTTGTAAAATACGTAACACACAGTCACAAATGTTTATAACTTTGTGATAAAATTATTTTAGATTTTTTGCAAAACGAGGACTTTTTTTTTTTTTATTATTAAATACACATGTACAGAAAGAGCGGCGTCTCTTTCTCTCTTTCTTTGACAGCCGAGGAACGTTCTTTCGCATCCCCTGTAAAAATGTGTAAATATATGAATATGACTTACGACAGTTTTGCCCCGAGGTGTACAGGCAGGGTTAACGAACAAGATTACGTTTTACAACATACACACACACACACACACCGCGAAGAACGATCGCGAATCTTTTACGACGCGGCGATAATTAATGTGCGTGCGCGCAAAACGCAATGGCGATTTCTCGCCATAATTCACGTCGTCGTTTTTCGCGCGTTTCCGAGGCTATCTATTTTAAACACTTCGGCGAAGAGGAAATGGCAGTCGGAAGAATATTGTTGTGAGCGCAAAGCAATGATTTACCCCCTCGTCGTGTCGTCTTCGTTGAGGTCGTCGTTGAGTCTCTTCCGAGAGATCTCGGTGCGCGCTGCTCCGTGTGTAAAAATCGCCGCAACGCGATTTTCAAGTTGTCGAACGAAACAAACGCGTGGAAAAATAATCAGACTTTTTTTTGTTTTACAACGTTTACTGACAAAAAAAGTTTCCTTAATACAATCGAGTCTACATACAGAATTGATTGCAACTATTGTTTTTGCGAGAGAAACGCTCGCGAAATGCAACGGTTGAAAAACGAGCGAAAAATGTCGTTTCAACGAGAACGGGAAAGGAACGTCTCTCGCAAAAGGGATAGCCGGGGGATATACATATATAAAAATATTTCAATTACAATATAAGAGTCAGCTGATAGTGGTGGGCCTTTAATCGATCTTCCGGAGCGAGTCGACTGCGCGGCTCACGTCGTATATATATCGCTAATTCGCCACGAATGTTCTCGCATTCTCGAGAAGCGAACAAGAACAGCGAACGACGCGCGATATATTATCGTTGCCCCCAATCGCCGCCCCGGAACGCGTCACGAAAAGACTAGAATGATTAAGAATAACGCGCCGGGCGCAATCGGAAACATGAGACGCACATATATATATGTATATATATAATATGTACCTACATGTGTAACGATTGATAATTAATAGCGATAATAATAATTATTATTATTACAATATTAATGCAAGAGAAGTGGGACGTCAGTGTTTTTTGATTTCCGGCGTACATATACATATAATGCTTTGTATATTCATATATATATCTATGTGTATCTATATATATATATATATCATATGTAACACGAGGAATACAATATGTACAGATGTCGCGACGCAAAGATCGAGAGTCTCTCTTCGAGATGTAAAAAAATCAAAATTTTGAAAAATTGACATTTTTTTTCGAAGACTTTTCTGGATAATAAATAAACGCCAGAAGACAGTGACTTGTTGACAACAATAATCCGCTTTATTAGTTTTTTTTTCGCAAATTGTCGCATTCGAAACTACGCAATTTCCCCCTACGATGCGTGTAAGTACACAACGTGATAAAAAAAAAAAAAAATTGCCTCTTTCCCCCCGCGCAGTTTTCTTCCGTTACAAATGAAGTTAAGAGAAGAGACGTAAATACAAGACGCGCATTTACGAAACAAACACGAGTCGTCTCGTCGTGCGCGTAACTACAAGATACTACACTTATACGCGGTAATACTACGCTAGAGTTTGATGAGTTATTTATACCTTTGCGGACTTTGTAAACTTCCGTTGCGTCTCTTAGTATTCTTCGATTGCGTAATCTTTTTTTTTCTTTTTTTTTTTTTTTAATTTCCGTCATTTATCACAGCATCGCGCGTTACAGCGTTCCTGTGTTTTATCGTCATCCCGTGCGCGTGCTTCCGCGGCGCGGAATCGAAAATCCGCGTGATTAATCGCGCGTTTGTGGATGCGCACACTTGTACCCCCGCGTAATAAATTATAACGCGCATCCTGACGCTTGGACAATTGCACAGCAATGCGAGAAACTCGCTGAATCGAATCTCGCGAGTTTCGCGGACGGATTTCGGATTACTTCGCGCGCACAGATTGTTCGGCTGAACGTCGATTCGACATTCTTCGCGTCGTCCTAACAATTAACAATTTGCGATTAACGCGTTTGAATTAACGCTTGCATGAAATTTCGACGACTCTCACAGGAGTCCGATAACCATCGGAAGACGTAGTGAGGAAATGCAATTCCGCATCTTCCGGAAATACAACGAGTTCTTATCCGGATAGGATAATCTCAATTCGCTCTTCTGTTCCCACGAGATAGTTCCGGACCTGTTCTCCTGAATCGTCGTCATCGCATGCCAACGCGCGTCTCTCCGCGCGAATCGATTTCCCGCGATGCGGTCGGGAGGGAATGTAATCCAATAAACCCGGGAGTTTCTTCTGCACTCTCTCTCTCTCTCTCTCTTTTCCTCTCTATCTCTCAGTCGGTGCACTCGGAAGCAAAGCTCTCGAGATCCACGTAGTGGCCGTTCATGTTGTCCTCAAGTAGCTGGGCGAGATCCCGGCGTAAAGTCTGGAATTCCGGTCTGCGATCGGGATCGGCGTGCCAGCAACGAGATATCACCCTGAAGAGCTCGCTTCGGCAGTGCGAAGGCCTCTCCAGTCGATAACCGTTGTGCACGTTCCGCATGACTTCCCGCGCCGTCATATCCGGGTACGGTGTTGAACCTGAAGACAGAGAGAGGAACGCATAGGTAGTGCGATCATTAACCGCTCGGAAACGCCGATATTATTCGCGCGCACGCACCGACCTCCTCCGACCTTTAGCAATTGTGACGCAAAGTTGTTCTAACAAGATACAAAACGAATCTCTTCTCCATTGGGTGGATATCGGGACGATATTTCTTACACATGTGTGAAGAGTAGCCAATCGTAATTGTTTGCACATTTGTAAGCGAGACGTTTTTTTATTTTAAACAAAAACTTGGATCTTTCCGGTTACACTTACTATGTTACGACTTCTCTTTCAAATAAAATTATTAAAATATCAAGAAATTATTCTCGCTCGTAATATAAAAATAAGTACTGAATCCAAATAAGGACATAAACGAGCATAAATGGGTGTTAGGAAAAATATATATATATAATATAATTATCAAATTAACAACTACATTAATAACATATATAACAAACGTTTCAACTCTTGACTTGAGTCATCTTCAGTGTTAACAATATATAAAAAAAAACAAATAATAAAATAAAATAAATACGCTATGCTGATGGAGGTGTTTTAAAAAATGCAGTCTTCTTGAGTTCATCCTCGAGTCTTAATGAGGTGATAGATCTGCCTACAAATGTTGAGTTAGAATACACTGATATATATTATATAAAAAACACAAATTACTCACAGGTAAAGATCTAAAATTATTAATTTATTTCGCAATTAAATTCTCAATCAATCCACAAGTCAATATATTTTTCCGATTCCGACAAATAAAAGTGATGAAAAATTTCACGAGTGGAGAAACAATAAAAAGCTGCAACGCAGCGTAAGCTGACAACGCGCGTGTTTATTCTTCATTCTGTTTTGCAATAGTTCCATTGATGTCGGCAGGTGTGTCCTTATTTTCATATCAAATAACAGCGAGACACGAGCGAGTTCTCGCGAACGTTTCAATATTTGTTCAGCAACAATTTACACCGATCTCTTTTCGCGCGGTGAGAAAACAAAAAAAAAAAAAAAAAAAAAAATTGAGTCTCCGCCCGAGACAGAAACACCCACCTAAGGTGACGATCTCCCACATCAGAATGCCGAAGCTCCAGACGTCGGTCTTGGTGGTGAACAGGGAGTAGATTAACGATTCCGGGGCCATCCAACGGATCGGCAGGGCGTTTCTGCCGTGTCTGGTCTCGATCACCTCGCCGTCCTCGTTGGCGAACCTCGACATGCCGAAGTCCGCGATCTTGCAAAGCTTGTTGTGATCCACGAGAACGTTTCTGGCGGCGAGGTCGCGGTGGATGATCTGCGCAACAGAGAAAACGGAGTCAACCGACGATAAAACGACGGGCAATAGCATCGACGGCACCGATCGTGTTCCATTTACGCGTGCGATTGCTTTACGGCCTACTAGCCGACCGCCGCGGCCTGACGGTCAATTACACGGTATTACCGGTATTGTCCGATGCGAACGAGGATTCGCTTCCAGAAAAACCGCCAGCCTTGAATCCGACAAAACGGGATAGCGTGACACAGAAGTCGCCGGAGGAACTTCTGTGTTAACGCGCGAAGGCAAATATTATTTCAGCGAGACACTCCGCCATTCTCGTCGTAGACCCGATAAATCTAGCGGTGTGTCGATCGGCCGCGATGTTCAACTTGTGCGGAGGATGTTCTTGAAAGAACAAACGAACGACAAAACGGGAAAATACATAAATTTCGTTTCTGATCTTCCGCGCGCGTATATGATGACAGGTGGAAGAGACATCTGCGACTGCTTACTTATCAAATATAAAAAAAAAGATCTTTAATTTGATCAAATATTTTTGTACGAACACAAAAAAAAAGTTTGCTGAAATGGCAAGATTAGTTACTATAAGATCGGAAAAAAATTTGCTAAGTCTGGTGAAGTTTTTTGTCTCGCCAATAAAATGTTTTGAAACAAGAACTTCCAGTACTATCAAAATTTTATTATATGTATATAAGATTTTTTTTTGATTATTATTTTAATTTTAATATAATTCTGTAATAGCAAAACTTTTTTTAACACAATTAGTGATAAATAGAGATTACTCTCAGGCTCTATAAGTCTTTTAAACTAATAATATATGAATATAAGGACATGAAGAGCCGTTCGCAGGATGTTGTGCGTGAATGTGAGAATATATATATGAATGCATATATATATATATATATATATATGTATTCACGTGTAATATAAAACTTTTTTTCCTTAAACATCTCTATAATCCTTGCGTAATAACTCTCCGTTGCAAATTATAATTCGAATAATCGCATATTGTTGCGTACGACTGAACGAGATTTCGTCAGTTTCGAAAAAAAAAAAAAAAAAACGCGCGGCGAAGGAAAAACCCAAACAATAATTATTGATACCTGTGATGCAAACGTGATGTTGCGAAATATTTCGGCGCATTAAGAGACCGCGCGCGGTTTTAACTCGAATGTGGAAATCCGGGGAATGCATCCACGACGCTGCGTATATACGCAGCTGGCACGCGCGCACTGTTATTTAGCTTGCGCGCGCGCGCCACGTGTAATTGTCTATTAACTCGGGAAAATAATTTTTGCCTTGTGTTTCCTCGAAGTTGTTACGCGACACGGAAACCGACAATTGAATCGATCGAGCGCTCGCGAGAGAGTTCGACTGGTCTTTGTTCTCCTCCCCCTAATTACCGTCAGTCGTGTGTCGTCCTCCTCGAAATCCGCGAGGACGCACACGTGAGATTTCCTCCTCGTCGCGAAACGCGGACGCGCGAGGGGCAACGACGAGTTGCGAAAAAGAAATATTTGCTTCGTTCGGCGGAATTCGCGTGTTTTTTAATCAAGAACGCGCGCGGCGGAATAACTTGGCACTTCGATTAACGCGCAACTTTCGCGCGGCTCGATTGTTTGCGCATAATATTGACAGAATTTTTTTCGGACACCGGTTTACGTTGAAATCGCGAACTTCGTGTTGGCGTTTTTTCTTTCACGCTATTAAAAAAGTTCGGTATATTAAGTGTTCGTAATGACCGTCGGTATGTTTGCAGATGTATTTATACTTCGAAAGAGAGTTAAAAATCGCGTCCGCGCATGCGCTTCACGTTTCTACTAAAATTATTCAGCAATATGAAAATATATACAAAATATAAAAAACTGTTTATCTTCTCTTTAGAAAATAAAAAAGTTTTCGACAGTACGCTCGTAATTTTGACGTACAAATTGTTTTTTACGACACACGTTATAATTTTTTATTGCAGCACGTGAATAGTTAGATCGTGTGCAGATCAGATTGTAAAAAAGTCGTTGACGATTCACGTAGCTTTCGATTCGGACAAAGAAACGCTCGACAAAGTATCCTTCGGACCTTGTTGTTTTTGTTTTTTTTTTTACAAGTAGGTAATAAAAACCTAATCTTTGCCTAGTGACACAGATCAGCAAGCAGAAACGTCACGCAGGGGGAGAGGTTTTACGACAGCGCGAAAATGTTTGAGATTAAACATTATTAGCGAGTTGTTTGTCGGAGAACATCCTCGAAGGGGACTCTCTCAATTTTTTGTGGAGGGTGTATCTCGCGAAGTGAAGAATATTTGCACTACGGGCTGTTTTTTGTTGTTTTGATTTTTATATATATGCACGAGAGATATACAAATCAAATTTAATTTCTAGAATCAAAGCGCGACCGACAACTTCGAGAAGTCGTAAATTCTTCGCGCAAAAATTATTTCTTCGCGCGTAAAAAAAAGAAATATTAAACTCGCGCACAACCGAAGCGCAAGCGCGAGCGCGCGCGATCTATCTACGAGGATACTACTACGAAGATACGTTATATTACTAGTAATTCTTACCTTTGCATCACCGCAACTGTAACTTTGTCAATTTATGCTTCGAGTTGCGCAAGACAACGATCGCCATGTTTCTCGGATGCGAGCGCGAACAAGGTTATTAATAATTGGCCGCAAAATCTTTACCGATACGCGCGCGGCAAGTAACAAACTTACTTAAAGAATTATTACGCGTTTGTATTTACGAGAAAAACATCGAAAAACATATAAAAGAAATAACATTTAAATATTGAAGTCTTAAGAATTTTATATTATTTTTATGTGAAAATATTTTAATTATTATCATTTATATTAAAATAAAATAAATTCTTTTTTAACTTTTTTAATTAATTATTAAAGATGTAAGGTTCAACAATAGCGTTCCAAGTGCAATATTTTGAACAATTAACATAAATCGATTGACACTCACGCAACGAGTCGGAAATTAACGACGGATTTTTTTGGCCAAAGAGTTTTAAACGTTCGCGCCGCGCATCGATTTGATCGAGGCGTCGAAATTTGTCGCCAGTTTCTTTCCACAGTTGTATTTAACAAAAGCGCACGTGCGAACGTCATTCAGAAAAATAAAACAAAAGATCCGAGCGAGAACCGCGCGTGAAGCAATTGTCATCAAGCGGTCGGTCTTGAAACGGTCTTTTTCTTCGCAAAGCGGGGACGACAATTAATTCGTTACGTCGAGAAACCTTCGCGAATATAAGTCGCGTGAATAATCAAAGAAAGATTAATCAACACGCCGCGCGTCGTGGTTATGAGAATCGAGAACGTAACGTTACCAAGGACTGTTGGAATATATATTGGCGTAACGCGATACGAGATTTTGTTACCTCCGTAATAATATAATAAATACGCGACATTGAGAAAAATTTTCTTCTCAGCGCGAGCGATAATTAGTCGCGCCGATGAGACCTCGCCGGGTTTTTTCAGCTCGTAAACAAATAGCCTAGTTGTGCGCAATGAAAGACGATCGGCGTGACATTTCGCGAATCGACGTTTCACGATCTCGTGTCATCGAGACACAAGGTCGCGTCTCGAGATGCGATAATCGATGAGACATAAAAAATTATTTTACTGCCCGCTTCGACAATGGAAAAGGTCGTTTTCGCGAACCTCTTTGAAATCAGCACAAACGCGTGCGACGCGTTTGTTTTCGTCCGCAAAAAATACAATAGAATACGAATCGACCGCTAATTAGTCAGTTTGCTGAAATTCAAGCGGTTTTTCTGCTTCTAAAAATACAATCACAACAGGTTGTTTTTTTTTTTTTTTTTTTTTTCGACTGACCATTCAATCGTCCTAACAACACCGAAAAAATTGTATTCTTGTTTTGAGGATATCCCACTTACTTTAAGTATATTTTATACTAAAATAGGCGCCAAGAAGAGAGTTTCTTATTTTAAGAGGAAAATCCTCTAAATAGTAATATTGATAAGAATATATACTGATTAGAATATAAAAAGCCTCTATAGAAAAACATATATATCTCACTATCGAAAAAGACTATATTCTTAAATAACGAATATATTCTTAATTTCAGAAGAATATCATCTAAAATCTTTAAGAAGATTTTTTAAGTATAAAATCTTCTACTTACAAGAATATAATTTTTTCGGTGAAGAGACGAACATACGTACCTTTTTGGACGCGAGATATTCCATGCCCCTGGCCACGCAGTATCCGAAAACCGTGAGGTCCCTGGACGTCAGAGCCGCGGAGTCCTCGCTGAAGTTGTAGAAGTACTGCCTGGTGCGGTGATCGCGCAGATACGCGAGCAACTTGCCGTACATGACGTACTCCAGTATGAGATAATGAGGCTCTGTAATCAGAGAAGATCAACGCTGCCGTGTGTGTATTCATGAAAAACGGAGCGTGTCGCGCCACGTAAAGTGTGCGCGAACACAAGAGAGAGAGATCTCAATCGAAGGATAAACGCCGCTGACTTATTCACCGCGACTCGTTACTCATACCATTCAAATGAGCGCGATTTTTTTCCGCGAGACAAACGGTATTACGCGCGGAGACATGTGCGGACTCTTTCTTAAGCGAGGCGCTTTGCCATTCAATGCGCGACGCGACAAAAGCCTGAAAAATATTGCCGCCGCGCGCATAGACGAAGCGGCATTTCCCCTCGCTCGCTCGCGCGCGCGCGCGCGCGCGCTTTGTTACGCTTTCCAAGGCTTCGTGAAATTTTTCCCGACTGCATTCGACGACGACGACGACGCATTGAGCCTCGTTTACAATCCCCGGTTGTACACCCGGGAGAAAAATACGTCAATACGCTCGACGTGCTCGAGTTGCAAATGCGCGGAACTTCTATAAGTGTTATTACTTACTGATTTATTGTTAAGCGCGAATATATACTCCGCGACAATATCTATTTTGTCGCAAGAACGTGGGAGAATCGAAATGATTTAAAGTCCAAGCAATTTAAAATCGCGCACTTCTCGAAATGTGCGCGCGCGCGCTTGTAATACAAGAGTCGTCCCGCTTGATTGTAACTTATGAAGTCGCGCTCGCTCTCTCACGCCCTCGTATAATTCTCATATTAGGCCAACATTAGGGCCACCCTTCAGATAATTCTCATTTGCGACGCTCGTTCGCGCGCGATATCCCCGGATATGTTTTACAGAGTGGATTAAATTTGACGTAATGTTTACGACATTATTCGTTTTCCTCCTTCGTATCGAGCCGTACGTTATCAGCCGCGCGTGCTGCGCACGGTTTATCGACTTGCGATCGACGTAATAATGCCGTGTAGAAGACCGCGCGCATATGTGCTAATACAAATATTATAACAATATTTACCAAATTTATATTCACTCGTACGTTCGTCTCTTTTGTCAAATATAAGAAAATCGAGATTGAAAATTTGTTGAAAGGAGATGACAAGTATATTTTACATTTTTTAAATATAAAATGTTAAAAAAATATACCGAAGCAGATTTAAATGATCAAAAATCAGTCTTAATAAAAATTTGTTTTACGTAAAAGTAATTTTTTATACAAAATTGTTAAAAAATACCAACACACACAATTCTCTCGTACGATCTTCGATACACCGTCGGGTCCGTTGTATTTTGCAAGTGCGACGCTTGTTGGATTTGCGCCAACAAAAACAACAGTTCGCGCCAACGAACGTTTGGCTCGCAAAAATTGCGCTTACCCCGCGCCTATGTCGATCGATATGGCACGCGTGCGATACAATAGCCGTGACGAATGCAAAGCGGTAGAGAGGTAGGTGCGCGACGATACGTGGGCACACCGGTATCGCGCGCGCACACGTCTCTTACGTAAATCATATTTTGCACATAATAATAGTGGAAACACGTTCGCATTGACGAAGCGACGCGATAAGAGAATATATATATTATTTTCTCCGACGTGTTGAAAGAAAAACAAGTCGAGATGCGTTCGTTTTTAATCTCAACGTCTCGCGATACGCAAATTGTTTCTCTCTCTCTGTCTCTCTCTCGTATTGAAACACGCAACCCGTGCGCGCGATGGCATTGGAGATTTTTCTGCAAATCGAGGATTCTCTCGAGGCTTACGAGGTTACGCCTCGCGGCGCGACGCGCGTGTGCAATTAATTCCATGTCAAATGTTTTGGAACACTTGCCGACGATAACGACAAAGAATGAGGAGGTCAAGAGGGAGGCGCGACGTGTCGTCGTAAAAGTAAAAACGACTCGAAACCGTGTCGCGCGACGTCTTCGGTTCCCGGCTCGCTATCTCGCGTGAAAAATTCGTGTCACGGGGACGAGATATCGGAGATTTTAAAGGAATGCCGGCTTCTTAATGCCGCTCCTATTTCATACACGTTCGTAAAGTCCGACATATTTAACCGAAATTTGATCAGAAAGAGAGAGAGAGAGAGAGAGAGAAAAATAACGAAAGGATGACCGAATAACAGAACCTCTCGTTCGTGACGCGAATTATTTTTATTGTCGACGAAGAAAGAAAAAGATTGATTGATTGATTTTGATTGAAGCTTCATTTATTATGCGCTCTGGGAATAACATTCCCCTCAAGCGCAGAAAAGCAAAGAAAACTATTTACATAAAATCAGAATAAAATAAAACAAAACAAAATCGAAAAATAATAGTAATAAACAAACAAATAAAAATAAAAATAATAAAAAATAAATAAAAATAAAAATAATAAAAGTAAAAATAAAAGTAATAATAATTGAGAAACAATAAATAATGTGTGATAATATCAAATAATAACAAAAGATACAAAAATAAATCAGAAATAAGACAGAAAAGAAGTGAGTTAAGCATTTTACATATTAAAGAGAAATTATTCAGAATTTGATAATAAATGAATAAAGAATTTATTATAGAAAACACAGTAGGGTGCCCTGCGAATTTCTGCCGGTATAGCGTTCCAGATGTCAACACATACACATCTGAACGAGCGTCTAAAAGATTCAGTTCGACTCAGAGGGAGAACCAAAAAAGAGAGAGAGCGAGAAAGAAAATTTCTCGATAATTAAAAACAACTTGATGCGACTGCAATCGTATTTACGTTCAGCATCACGCGCGTTAAAATTTATCTCATCGTTAATTTATCGCGAAATAAAAGGGGAGCCCCTCCATTTGTTTTTTATTTTTACATCAAGGGCGTAAAAATTTGTTTGAACTCGTAAAGTCTATCTTCACCGTTCGGTTGTTGTTTGGTCGCTAATAATTTTCTCCGGTGACCGAAATGACGGTTCGACGGTGAGTTTTATTATTCCGAACGGCGATCATAAACCGGTCAAAAGGCCTTTTTCTCTTGACGAACGCTGCCACGACGCGGACGACGAAGAAGAAATGCGGACGTGGCGGTCGCAAAACGATATATGCGCGCGGAGCGGAGCTCCGAAATTTAAATGTCGTAAATTTTATTACGCGGTCGAGAGCCCATATCGCGTTCGAACTGTATTCCCGTTCTCTATTGTGCCGCGAGCCCTTGAAGAAGAAACTACCAAGTCCTCGAGATATGCGACGACGTTCGAGAGACGGTTGCGTTTTTAATCTCGTTGTGAAAAAGAGTTTAGCCGCCGTGATCATCCCGTTTTCTCGCGCTACGAGCGCGTTTTATCTTCGTTTTCAACGAGAAACAAAATTGGGGCCGCGCACCGGTAAATCTCTTTTCTCTCGCGCTCGAACAATGTTTCTTGCACATCCTCGGATTTCGAATCGTGAAACACGTTTTCGACAACCGTCGATGATTGATTCGCGCTCACTCTGACGTTTGTCGGAGCAGAGAAAATGTTTTAAAGCGCGAGTTAGTATAGTATCTTGTACACGCTCTGCTTCCTCGACAAAAACTTTTTTCGACGAACTTCTGTTTTACCGGTGTGCTGTATTATCGCGAGGCGGGAGATTTCTAATCTCCCCCGAAAGAAAGGAAGCTATCTTTTCCGTGGCGCGAGGTTTTTGATCGACGGAAAATTATGATATAGAAAAAAAGAACACATTAACAAACATATTATTGTATAAATAAACTTACGTAATTTTATTAAGTAGAAATGGATTGCACACGCATGTCGCGATCGCGTCGTCGCTCGAATTTTATTTTTTTTTTTTGTCCATTTTCGATCTCTTCTTTGACGGGAACGTCGTAATAAACCGATCGTCTCGCGAGGACGCACGAGAGCTTAAATAGACGTATTGTGCAACGCGAACGGGAGCACACACATCGTATGGAAATTTATACGAAACGATGAGAAACGACGATATCGAGTAGCGTCGAGCCAAAGACGTATAATGGTTTCTCTCTACTTCTTCGTGGCCCGACACGTGTGGGCTTCCGTTCGAGCGGACTGTGATGTCTCTACCGGTCGTCGCGCGGTAAAAAACATCTCGAACCGATTCGGTCAGTTGTTGTTCGATTTAAGAAATAAACAAAAATTTCGAAATACACAGTTACAGATTTCGCAATTGTTTGCGCATTGTTTTTACAAAAAGAAATTTCTGAATATCATTTCAGAATACGCATCGTGTGATATTTTTGTTTACAATGTAATATGTTACACGATTTTATTTGAGAATAACGCGAATCGCGTTTTGCATAAAAATATTGTATTTGCTTCTCGCATCACACCTGCTGTTTCTCGCGCATCGTCGTTTTTTAACGCGAAAAAGCGCCAATTCGCAGTTTCACTCCCGTCGTCGCGAGTTTTCACGAGATCGAGACGTGGGTTTTATTTGCCGAAGCAATTACGCGAGTGAAAATCATTTTGCCGATTCGTTGCGCGATTACTTTCGGAAATGAAATCCCCCCCCGGCGCATCCTCGCGATCCTCTTCCTCCGGTTCTTAATCGATTCGGTTTTGTGGAAGCAATATGCAATACGCCGCGTGGTTATCCGGTTCTCAATAAACGTCGCAACAAAATTACCAAGAAACGATCCATCATCGATCATACTTTTGTTTGCAAATCGACGAGCGCGATCATCGGTATTTTTACACAGACTCGCGGAGAGAGATTCGCGAGAAAAGAACGGAACTGCGTCACGTAGGAGGAAAAACAAAATACACACATCTTCTGACATTTGGATAATGTGTTTCGTAATTTTTTTTCTCGAGAATTTGCGCGCGCGACAAACGAACGATTTCGATTTTTTTAACAAACAATCGCTCACTCCGCTAATAATCGAGAAGATAACAAAAGCGAATTACACGGTGATTTTTTATTCGTCGAGCTGTCGCCGTTTGTTAAGAAATTATCTGCAATTATTCGCCGCGGCGTAGATAACGACAATTACACGAGATGAGACAGATAAATCTTTCTGTGCAAACAAAGCGATTCGCACGCAATTATCATAATAATTGTTTAATTTATTGTACGAGCGCGGACGCAGGGAGAAAACAGCGTTTTCATCATTTTTTTTATTCTTATCTTTCCGATATAAAACACGCGGGACATAAATCACTCGACTACGCGCGATTATCGATTTTTGACGTGTAAACACGCGATGGACGAAAACAAAAAAAAAAAAAAAAAAATAAATAAATAAATAAACCTGTTTTTCGCAGACGTTCGTCCGATTTCGGCACGTTCGCAATAAATTGCGGCGCGAATCGAGTCACGGCGTGTATCTACGTATTAAAAACGAGAATGCGATAGGGATTTATCGCGTCGCTTCGCGATAAAAAAAACGTGTCGTTTCGCGGAAATTTGAATTAATTCGCTAGATCGTTGAAACTCGCGAATTTTGCGATTAAATCGCACAAGGACGACCGGTGTGTCGGTGGAGGAAGATACGCCGAGAGAGCGGCGTCAAGACACACACACGCACACACTCCTCGCGGATCGGAGGAGAGTCCACCGAATGCGATTCTCTATATCTCCATCTTCCTCTCGCGATGGATGCCTGATTACTTAATTACCATATACAACGGCGTTTCTGCCGTCGGGGAGATGCGCGCCGTGGCAGTTAAAACGCCATTAGTTTTTATAAAGTTTCGCCGCGGATCCGCGCGCGCGATCGCGGCGACACGCAAGGTCGAAGATAAGTGACGGTAATGAGGAAGATTCAACGAGCAGGCTGCAGTTGCAGGCCCCGGTGCAACGCACAGGTGCAGGGCGCCGATTACACGCTCGCGATGTGGGCTCGAAAGAGCGCGCGGGGGAGGAGGGGGGGGGAGAATGGTGCGCGCTTCCGCGGGAAATTGCACGATGCGTGTCGCGCTGCCGGTACGTGCCGATTGCCGCGTGGCGTGTCTCTCACGTTCCAGTTTAATTATATATCGTACACGCGAGGATGCGCGCTTCGTGCTCATGAATCGAAGTGGAAGTAATTTTTCGTTAAACGAAAAAACGAAAGATGATTAAACACAGCGCGCAAACGGGAACATAAAAAAAACAAATAACTGAAACAATGATGTTTATTGTTCGAGAGAATTTGAATATTTACAAAAATTGTAAATGACACCTTACCTTCCTCGGTGCAGCAACCAAGAAGTGTCACGACGTTCGGATGACTGCCAAGTTGCTTCATGATCTCGAGTTCTCGATCTAAATCCTCTTTTTCCCGATCGGAAGCGCCTTCCTTGACAGTTTTCACCGCAACCAGTCGCGTTGTGCCTTGATGACCTGTCAAGTCGTCAGCCTCGGCCTTCCATACCTGACGTTTAATTAAATCACATTTTTGTTACAATTCTCGCAAATTGTTTTGAACGCAACAGTTACGCTCAAATAATTGCGTTAATAAACGACAATTAATTAATTCGCGATTTTTAAATAATATACTTCTGTACGACATTTCTTGTAAATTTTTTAAAACACAGTTACGTTCGAGTGGTTTTGTTAATGAACGACAATTAATTAATTTTGTATAATTTTCTATTAAGGGAATAACGTCCACGTTTGTTTTTCAATTAAGAACGTTATATCGTATTGCGATGTTCTAAAAATATATAATTTTCTTGATCGTTCGTCTTATTATCGTTAATTCGTATCGAAAAAAAAAAAAATCTATCGTGACGGATTGCACTTCTCTGCCGTTTCCCACAATCGATTTTGCATAATCAGTTCGATTATGCCAACAATTACGCTAACTGTCTGTTACCCGCGCCTCATGAATAGGCGGCGCGATCAAATCGCACATGTCAATAGCTGTTATTACGAATGAACGCGGCTGAAATTTCGCCGCGTATATATATTTTCGAGTATATAAAGATAAAATCCCGCTTGAGAGCGGGACACGAGCCGAGAGGAAAAAGCTACCGAATTTGTCGCGAGTGTTTAACGTTCCCGCGCGCGAGAGCAAAATATTTTGGAAAATAAAAAACTTCAGATCGAACGATCGGAAATTACAGACTTCGCTCGTGTGTGTTTCTTTTTTTTTTTTTTTTTTTTTTCAATAGCATTTGAAAATGTCTTCTTACCTGACCGAAGTTTCCCTGCCCGAGGACGGTTTGTAATCTAAGCTTATCTCTGGGAAACTCCCATCTGGATTCCTGTGACGGCGGAGGCGGCGGTTTCTCAGCTTCGTGACACTGTGCAGGATAGAATCGTGATAGACCAGTGTAAATTGCAGTTTAGAAAACACATCAACAGTCAAAAAAAAGTAATTGGCACGCGCGTGAAAGCGAACGTCCGTCTATCTTACGCGCGCGGAATTCACGTGTGTGTGACGCAAACTTTTCTCCGCGCCAGGAAAACAAACTTTCCACCGTACTTTCCACCGACGTTAATTTTCGCTATATACGTAACGAACTCAAATCTGTTTATTGCGCAATTAACGTACGCGAATAATTGCGAGCGCGACAAAGATAATTTAAATCAAATGCGATTTTTCGATAAATCGTCAAAAATTGAACGCGTTCTCCGAACGATAATTATTGTTTAATTAACTGTCAAGTTAATTAAACGCGGATCGACGGGGCTGATTAATTTCTCACCAAGTGCTGTATCCTCGGTAGCTTCGTGATCGCCTTCTCGATGGACGTTTTGAAATCGCCATTTTCGAGATTGAGAGCGTCCTTTCTGCAGCTTATCTCCGATGACGTGTCCGACTCCTCGAGCACCTGCGTGCATAAGCAACTCAACGTCAGACTAAAACATGCGACACAGCATTACCGCACGTCGTCGTTTGCACGCGCGCGCGCGCGCGCGTCGGGGAGCCTCTCTCGAATCGGTCGTCACGTCGGTTTTTAATTGGGAGACGCGGATCGCGGCCGCGTGGCAACGAGGAGGATCACCGACGCCGTCTTAGACGTATCTCCGCGAGTAATATTGCCGGCATAAAATTAGATAAACGTAGCGCGAACACGCGTGAAACTACGCGATGACACTTGTTACGACAACGATAAAACGCAAAAATGACGGTCGGAGAGAGATGTGTGCTATTATATGGGAATGAAATATCTAAATATTTTCTACAACTATAGGAACAGGGCGCAGCGAGAATCGCGAACAATTAAAATATAAAAAATGTTTAATTATTTGAAAAAAATGAATTAAAAATTTTTTAAACAATTATGACTTAAGTCTCGTTGAAATTAATAACAAGAAATATATAAGGCCTTGCGAGCCATTCGCAGGATGTTTGAGCGGAAACTGTGCGTGTATATATATATATATGTATATACACATGTAACGAATTCAACTTGTAAATTTTTACAAGTGAGTGTTTTTTTAATTGAAATCTCAATTCTTGAATTCATACGGGATGCTGGAATTGCATCTCACATATGAGAGACCCCGGATACCCCCCTAACTAATTTTAAAATATTGCGAAAAAAACTCCTCGGCCAGGAGTGTCAAAATAAAAATTTTTTTTTTTGTTTTTTTTTTATTACATTTTCTTGTCAATGTTTTCTACGACTGAGAACACACATGGCAACTATAATAGAACGTGAATAATTAACATAACAGAAAATGTTCAATTAAAACAAAAAATAATGTTTTATTTTTTTCGCAACTTAATTTTCTTGTCAATGATTTTATTTTACTAATTGCGTCAATGATTGGATCGCGGATAAAATTGCATTTAATCGAGTCAAAGATCCATTACAATTTTTTTTTATCGATTGTTCCGCGTGGCGCTTATTGACATCGAACAAGAACGAGCGAAGGTGATTTATTATCGAGAAGCGAATTACATCGAGGAGACGTAATCGATACGCGAGGCGAAATAAAAATCGCGCTGTGTTTTTATTGTTGCGCGCGTCGTGTTTTTTTTTTTCGAGGAAGAGAGAGCACCCGCACACAGCGCGAGAGGAACGCCTCGTGCTACGCGAACGTATCGAAAAGAGTATAGGACAACGTGTGCGTTCGCCCTGTCGACGATGAAATTTCAATCTCGAGAGGAGGAACACAGCGCGCCCGAGTTCGGTTCCCGTGAGACAAGATCCCGAAACGGTCCCCCGGCTTATTTATTTGGTGTTCCCGCACACTCGACTTTCTTTTTCTCTCTCCTCTTCTTTCCCCCCCCTCCCCATTTGCATGCTCCTTTTTTTCTCTTTTACCGTCCACCTTTGTACCTTCGTTCAGATTTATTTCCACGACTGTCGGTTTAAATTTAAATTTATGCTCGCGTTTATTATTTATTACCTGTATTTCTCGCGCCGAAGAATTTCGCTTATGTCATTTCCGGAAATTTTTTCTGCGTTCTGTAATATACCTTTAATTCTTGTTTTTTTTTTTTTTTTTTAAATCACAAAGCAAAGATTTATCGATGTCGACAACTTTGCACTTTGCCGAGTGCAAAATCCAATTGTCGATCCAACAATTTTTTAATTTGACACACAACTCGCGTCACGTGCAACTCGTTAGAAACATCGCGAAGTGTCTCGAGCGCGTCACGCGAGCGAGTGTGTGCGTGAACAATTACATTCCCGCGTATTGAATTATTATTATTATTCTCGTTTTCCAACGTGACGTGACACCAGAGAGAAGTGATTTTTTGTTTCTTTCTCCGCAATCTCGGTCGAAGGAAAATTCCGCGGTAAAGAAATGATCGAGAGGATAATGAGCTCGACAATTTTCGCATTACGCCTTATTATTATCCGTGCGCGTTCGTTTTTCTCATTATCGTAACACGCGCCGCCACCACGACTTTCCGCGTCCGATGATTCGATCCTCCTCCTCGAGAGACATCGCGAGATTATATTCTGCATACAATGAACTTGTAATTGCCGACGGGAGATCATTACCCATTTCGTGAATCATCATCGAAGCGAGGGGGAGAGGGAGAACGAGCCAACCTTCACAAAGGAAATTATTCGATGACCGCGTTTGATACTCATTCGCGACAGGAAAAAAAAGCGCGACCTTTTGGAATGTAATATATTCAGATACTTTTTTTTTTTTGTGAGTTTATTGGGCGCGTCGGAATTGATCGACAACAAACAATTTGCGACTAACAAACGACGACTGTCGGAAGCAATTTTGACACGATTGCAGCGTGTCGGGCTAAAATCTCGTCGATGTCACGAGATAACGAACGACTTAATGTGTGTGTGTGTGTGTGTGTGTGTGTGTGTGTGTGATAAATGCGACTAACGCGCCATGATAATCCCCGAGCGTGCTGCGTAACGGTACGTAAGTGGTGCTGCAGCTCCTCGTAACGAACGGGGAAGATTCGCAAACCTCCGCCGCGGCGCGCATTCAATTAAAAACGGAGTTCAACGCGCTTTGTCCTCTTCTTTCCGCGAGAATGATTTCTCTGCGAGCGAGCGGAGAATTGAAAGCGAATCCAATTAAAATCGCGTTATTTTGCAAGGAGTGTTTGCGAGAGAGAGAGAGAAGAGGATCACGTTGGCGCTCTTCTCCGTACACAACGGCGCGCGTTAGGCAATTTCGTTGCCGATATATTCAATCGGCGCGCCCGCGCTTCAAAGACGAAATAAAATAAATCGCGAAGCAACACTTTCTAATCCCGCGAGATCGCGCGCGACCTCAAAACCACTTTGCTCGCGTTTCAAACGCTCACCTTACGATTCCTAAGTATCAGTCTTCTGAGAATGAGCCCAACACCGACGGCGATGGGAAAGACGACGAGGGTTGCGAGGATGTAGGTGACCACGGCGACCGTTTCCTGGGTGGCGATCGCGTCGCCGTCGTGACGCTTCAGTATCACATCACTGACGTTCATCATCGACTCGCGCTGACTAACCGAGATCGGCCCGCCGGTCTCGAAGAACGTCCTGTTGGGCCCGGCGGGATGGTATATCGTGCCGTTGTACTCAGGCAGGGTCGAGTGATGATAAGCGGGCCTGTACCTGGTCCTGTTTGCGGCCACGGGCGCGAAGGAAGATCCTCTGGAGAACGTGGTTGGAGCGGCGGTGGTGGTGTTCTCGCGATTTTCCTCGTGTTTGTTTTTGCGCGAGTTTGGTGTCACCGTCGGTTCCTTAGACTTGAGAACGGGAACGGTGGTCGACGTGCTTCCGCCGATTTCCGTCGTGCTGACGACAGTCGGCTCGGGTGTCTTCTCCGTCGTCGTTAAAGGACTCAGGTCCTCTTCCTTCACGGGATTCTCCACCGGAAGCACCACTCGCGGCCGTTCCGTGCCGCGCGCAAAGCCGTCCATTCGATCGCTGCCGTTGAAGATGTCCGACGTGTTGTACAGATGCATGATCGGCAACACGTCGTCTTTGTCTTTCGACTTGTCCGACAAATTACGCGCCCTGACTTCCGGCGATCTCTCGCCGGAAATGCGTTTCCCGTTTTCTGTCACCGGCGAAACTTCCGATTTTTTGTCCGAAGACGCGTCGTCCGCGGGACGAGTGTCATCGCGAATTGGCGACGCTGTTGTGGTCGTTGTTGTGGTCGACGTTGTCGTCGCGTCCTTGGCCCGATACCTCTTCTGGATCTCGGAGGGATCCAAATTGTTCGGTTCCGGCGCTTTCGCCACGTCCGTCGGCCTCAAGGTGAAAGTCTCCGAACCGTCGACGGTGGTCCTTTCCGCTTCCGTCAGTATCCTGGGAGTGACTGGAAAAACCGGTGCTGCCGGCGTGGCACCGCTCGCGGTCGTCGCGACAGTTTCCTCCAGTTGCTCGTTCACTGTCACGGTCGTCGCGGCGGCGGTGACGCCGTCCGTCACGTTCGCGTCGGTCTTCGCGACATCCTGATTGTCCTCGGTCCCAACATTGTCCCCGTCACTCATCACCGTTGACGCGGTGACAACGTCCTCCGCGACATAAACGTCGGACTTGACGTCCACCGTCTCCGTTGTCGTTACATCGTCGACGGACAAATCGTCCATTGTCTCGGCGCTCGAATTTCGACTCAACTTCCCCATAACGACGCTCTCCGACGGACTGCTGTCACCCGGCACTTCGTTCACCGCACGCGCGACCTCCCGAAGAGAACCGACACTCGGTGCCTCATTGTCCGAATTAATCCTACCGCGGTCCCCAACCGTCCCGTTCAATGATCGAACCTCGTTCACCACCGACACCCTTTCCTTGACTCTGTCCTTTTCTCGATTCTCACCGGACTTCAATCTCCTGCTGCTCGGGGACTTCAATCCGCTCTGAGGTGCCAGCACTCGGCGACGCTTGTTGTTCACCACCGAGGATTCTTCGTTGACGTTCGATCTCTGATTCAGCACCGCGCTCGCGCTCTTCCGTAGAAACCTGCGGTCATTAGCACCCTCCTGCTCGACGCCGCTTCGTGACTTGGCTTGGTTCCACCTGACCGGTTCCCCGCTTCCGGGCTCGGCCGACTTGACGGGTCTAGTCGGTGAGATAACACTATCGTTCGTGGCGGCAGCTGCCGCTCGTTGGCCGCTTGCCCGTTGCTGCTGTGGCAAAGCGACTTTCCTCGATCGTTCCCCCACCAGGCCGTCAACAACAACAGTGGGCGACGCTTCAGCGACTGCGACTGGTTCGACGGTCGCGCCGGTACTGAGTCCCGCCGGCGTTCGCGCCGGTTCTATACTGGCACGAGGAAGCAGAAGAGGAGAAGACTGCGGCAGCAGCGGCGGCGGCGGCGGCGACGACGACGGCGGCGGCGGCGGCGATGGTTGCTGCTGCTGAGGCCGCCGCTGCGACGGTCCAGCGCTCGTTATCTCGGCACCGCTACTACCAGCACGACGACCAGCACTTCCTCCTCCCCGTTCTTCCTCGCTTAACCCAGGTCCGGTGTAGTTGCGCAACAATCGCGTCACGTTCGTTATCGTGTACGCGTACACGTGTTGCTGCTGAGGTTGCGGCCGCTGCCAATTTGAGACACCTGTCGTCGCGGACAACGACAGTTCCGTCGTAAGTGACGTCGTCGATGATGATTTCGGCGCTTTATCATCGCGAACCGGTCGTCGATCCGCGACGGAATCCGCGGATACCGGTTGCTTAACGGTATTATGCGTTCGATCGTTCTCGGTCGCGAAACTCGGCAGCGCCAGAGGACTGTCGTCCGGGACGACAATTCGCAGCGTCGTCGACGATTCCGTCGGTCTCGGCGACGACGACGTCTCGACAATGCTCGACTCGCGAGATCTCGTTCTCACCTTCTCGACACTCGTCGTCGTCGGTCTCGACTCGGACGACTTTGTCAGGCTCTTTGAATCCACGACTTTGTCCGCTTCGATTTTTTTCCCGACATTCGTTTCCTCGACAAAGTCATTTGTCATTTTCCGAAGGCTCTCGCCGCTCGCGACGGTCTCGTTCGAGAGTTTTTCGTCATCGGCGGTTTCACTCTCCGCGTCGTCGCGCCGTCGCGATATCTGGGTCGTCGTGCCCGCGTCGACGACGTGGGCGGCGACTCCTCTCTCCCGCAGAGTCCGATCCTGAGTCTCCGCGTGAGCGGACGAGTCGCCGCGCCGATCGCCGCTCGACTCGTTGCTCGGGATGACGTTGGACGCGACGTCCGCCGTGGGCCTCGTCTTCCGGTAATACAGTCCGTTGCCCGGGCTTCTGAACGTGTTCTTGATCCTCGACACCTGGTTCTTCTCGACCGTGCGACGATCCACCGCTATGTTCATCTCGTCGTTGACGATCTCCTCCGCCGGCGCGGCTATCGTCGCGCTGAATCTCTTCGCGGAGTAACGTCGGCGCGACGAGGTCGGCACCGAGATACTCGACGTCGTCTCGACGGAATTGTTACTGCCGGTGATATTGTGCGCGTCCGGATGAAGCTTTTGACCAAAGTACAGAAACTGCGACATGTCCTCCACGGGGATGTTGCTCTCGACCGGTCGGAAGTGATTGTAAAGCGACTCCGGCATCGACACGGTGTTCTTCTTGCGCGTTTCCGCGTCTCCGGACTTTTGACCGTTCGAGACGACGATCGGAGACAAAGTCGAAGACTCGCTCGTCGATACCTCGATCTTTGACCCCGTTCTCGGAGTCTGCGACTCGGTTTCGATCATTTTCTCGACCGATTTCCTCGGCGGAGTTTTCTCTTCCCCGGTCGTTTCCGTTCGCGCGCTGGTCACGTAGTCGCTGTGTCTGGTCTCCTGAGTCTCGAGGATGTCCGGAGGATCCTTGGACGTGGCGTCGCCGGGTCGAGGCGCGCGACTCGACGCGATTCGAGGCGACGACTCGTGCACACGCTGGTTCAGAATCTGTCGTCTGCGAGCGAGCAAGTTGCGCAGCGCCTGCTCGCGCTTAGCCTTCGACAGCTCCGCGTGCGAAGAGGACGTGCGCGCTCGACGATGCGCATCTCCGACCGGTGCGTCTGCGAACATAAAGAAAAAATACCATCGTCGGTTTACTTCGGTTTTTTCCGCTCTCTCTCTCTCTCTCTTTCTCTCTCGGACTTTATTACGTAAAATAATTAGAATAGTTACTCTCCGCGCAATTACCTCATTAGTCGAAAGGAAAGGAGGAAGGAATATGAAGATACACAATTTCCCGCGGACTCTTCATTACTTTGTTGTTTGTGTGTGCGAGAGCATTTAGCGCCGTCGGGCAGATGTTATCTGCCCGAACGACGCGCGTCGAAGAAACGCGCGTCTCAACGAAGTGTAAATAAATAACCGCGCGCGTTTTCTAAAATGCTAATTGATCCCGCATGCGGAACAATGACATGGCGCGTAACACGCAACGATTATTAAAAGTTCCGGTTCGTTCCGCGGCACGGTTCCGCGACGGAACGGGGGGAAAAGGAATAAAAAATTTTCTTTCCCGCGCGCGATAATAAATAAAGACCGGCGCTCGCCAATCGCGTCAGAATTGTTTTCTCCGAGGTGTGAAAACCGGAAGAACACACATCGACACCCCGCCTCTCTCTGGCTCTTCTCCGCAACGAGTTCTAATTGAGTTCTCGATTGTGCACGTCGCGAGATCGACGCCGGGAAAGAAATTCGCGCGCGGACTTCTTTAAAAAGTAACGGTGATTCTCCTCCTCGCGGCCGGTTTGGGACACGAGAGAGAGAGGGTCCGGTACCGTTACCTCCTCCTCTCCGTCCAACGAGCTTCGTTCCGCCGCGTAATCGTTCGTCGTGTTTGCAAAAACAATCCCTCCGTCGCGTTCGCGTAAAAATTTCAAGTGTGTACATCCTGCTCGAGTTATTTTTTTTCTCTCTACAAAGAAATGATTTACAAACGTCACGCCCCCCATCCCGTCGCCGGTCCACTTTGTTGCAAGATTCTGAACACCGGAACGTTCACTTTTTTTCAGCGTCGCTTCTGAGATTAAAAATGTTTTTTAAAGAAACCTTTAGATAGATAGATATTTTGTGTTACGCTGAGTAGAAGAAATTTTGGTCGCGAAAAATAAAAAAAAAATACTGAACGTCTCAATGCGCGATTTCTTCGACGATTGATCGTCGCTGCGCTCTCGAACGATCCTCTTCGACGGCGCTCGAGAGAGAATTTCTGGTTTTCTCTCGTGATCGCGCGGTAACGCCGACAACCCTATCGTGCGGATAATGGGCGTTTCGCTTCGCTTCGGAAATTCGTCCGCGTTGTAAAACGCCCGCTGTAGAACGCGCGCCGTAATCTCCAACGTACAAGCATGTTCCGCACGCGGTCATCATTAAGAGCTCGTCCGCGGGAATCGAGACGAGGAGATGCCCGCGCGCGCGTCGCGAATTTATCCTCTCTCGAGCTCCTTTCTTTGGGTCAAAAAAAAAACTCGCAACGAACTGAATTTACAGCGACGAAGGTGCAACTTGTCGGCTCGTTAAAGCGATCAATATGCTACTTCGTAACGTGGGATGAGATTTCGGAAGTTCCCCAAATCTCTCTTTGCGTATCCGAGGATTATCGCGAGACGGGAGGAGTCGGTCGGCGGCTCCTCTGCTTTTCACTCGCGTCCGATACGTATTATTCTGCCCCCAAACGTTTTTATTTTTATTTGAAATGAACTCGAAAGGGTTTCTAGAATTCTATAGGGATTTGCGAGATTATTTGCGACGTGAGTCTAACGTACGGGGCACATCGTATATCGCCGTAATGTGCGGAAAAATGTTCAAGATACCCCCCCGCACAGAGGAGAACAATAATTTTCAAATAAAGTACATTTTATATGCGAATTTTAAATACGGTTTTTTATTCGGTGGGTGTGTTCGTTCCTTTTTTTTTTTTTCCTTGAAAAGAGCCGTTGAAAAAAAGTTTATCTTCTCATCGAGCCGCGGCGAAAACCAATTCAACAACTTGGAGACGCGTCGTTTCAACGCAGATATATTCCAAGTTCGCCCGTCGGAGAACACACACACACACACACACAATCTCGTTTGTGAATACATACACACGAATTCGTCCCTGACTTCGGTTTCTGAATAATGCGAATCCCCGTCTAATCTCGAAATCGCGGCGAACCTCCCACGCGAGATTTTTGAGAACGCGTTAAAGAAACGAAAAAAAAAAATAAATAAATAAATAAACGAGTTTTAAGAAAGTATTCTCGTTTGTCGTCGCGAGATAAGAATCGCGAGGGACTCCCGAAAAAACAGCGTGTAACAAACAATTCAACGACCGTAATTATGTGTTTATGGAGGAAAGTGCAATTTTTTTGTCGCAAAGACCCCCCGGGCTTTCGGGGATTGTAAATCACCCGGATCACCCGGAGAAATTGCGGAGATGGATAAGGAGACGACGAGAGAGAGAGAGAGAGAGAGAGAGAGAGAGAGAGAGAGAGAGAGCGACTGCGTCGCGAGATGGCGAGTCCGCGAATTATTATCGTCGCGGACGTGACCGCGTCGTAATATATTTTATGTGGACGCGTGTCCTCTTGCGCGGAAGGTCAGTGTTGCTTCTGTTCTTGTTTCTGTGGAAGGGGGGCCCCCGCCCTCCCTCGTTCTCGACGGTCGTTCGGCCGCCTGGCCGAGTGAACTACAATGCGGGGACGCGCACACGTGAGATGACTGCGAGATGTGTCCACGTCTCGCAGGGAGGATCCCCGCCGGCTCCAGATTCGACGTGAGAGATGCGCGCGTGAGTCCCGGTTTCGCTTGTCCCACTTACGAAAAGTACAGTTCGATTCTCCTCCTTCACGTCTCGCTCGTTTTTTTTTTTTTTTTTTTTTGTTATCGCCGCGAATATAATATCGCGATTTTCCACAGATTGCGATCGCCAGGTGGCAACCTTTCGAGAACCTTCCGGAGGGTAGAGAGAATCATCGCGTATTACACGATTCCGCGAAACCGCAGAACGTTTAGACGACGCGTTCGTGCCTCGATCGGCAAGAGCGATAAAATATAATGCGATATTAGTAGCCACACACGTGTGGCGTGTAATCGACGTATTTCTCGTAATTCTCGCGCGCTTCTGCGTGTTTCTTACAATGGCATACCTCGTAACTGAGTCACAGAATCTTTTTTATGCAGGATGTTTTTCTCTTTCAAGAGAATTGTTTTTTTACCACAGTTTTGAATAACAATCTCCTCGCCAGAGTTTCTTCGACATATGTTTTTAAATAATTATTTAATTATTCATGAAAATGCTCTCAATTAAAAAAATTCGTTTTTGCGAGAAATAACGGAACGTTGCAAGGAATATTCCTTGCAACGGCCTTGAGAGATTAAGTATTTTAAGGTCGGAAACAACCGTTTGCATCGCACTTGCCGCAAATGGTCATTATTACTTCTCGCTTATTACGTCCGTTGATTGGTAAAAATTGCGCGCATGCTGAACAAAGCAACAAAGCCGACGAGAACGGTTCAGCTCTTAATAAGCGCGTTGCGCAGAAGCTGCGGGCGAGGCCGAACGCGCGAAGAAAGCGCATCTCTCTCTGGGGCGGTCTCGTTAGCGCGCGTCGGATGGCACACACGCCGAGGTGTCATAATGTTCTTTAATGCAGCGATGGTCTATGTGGCAAATGTGTCTCTCTATTACCGACGCCATTACGTAAACGCGCGTTCTTAAGAGATATGCTGCCGCGTAACACGTCGTCGCTTCTTCCGAAACGCAGGCGCTCACATTCCGCGCGTGATCGCGCGCGCGAATAAATACTTCTCGTTCGTAGTCATCGTTTGCATAAACACGTAACAATGCAAAATGATGGCGCGCGCGCGCGCACGCGTTTAATGCACGTTGTGAGAAAATCAGCATCTTTCTCGAACGGCTTTCAACACAAGTTTTTTTTCCTCATAGAGTGAATTAATTTATTAACCCATTCGAGACCGATTGCACAAAGTGTGTGCAATAATAATAATGAGCATTTATCAGTTATTCTGAGTAAAGTAGTCGTCGAGATAAGACTTTTTTTGAATTAATAGTATCTGTAAAGTATAGAAAAACAAAATTTGGCATTGGTATTTTGTATTTTTGTTTTACCTTACATTGCACACATGGTGTTCAATCCGCTCCTCGCAATAAAAATTTTCTGAGAAGCGAGCTGCACACATGTTATTTATGCGAATTCACTTACGAATTAGGTGATTTTCATAGTAAACAAGTTGTTTTTTATTAAAAATGAACAATATAAAGAAAAAACATTTCGTTCCTGAGGACCGTGTTCGAAAAAAATCGCCGTCTCGAATGGGTTAATTCAAATATGGTTTTTGTTGTATTTATTATTTTCCTCAGGAAAATAATAAATTAATAAATTAAATAATAATCATGAAAGTAATTGGCGAAATAAAAAACGAAATAATTAAATACTAGAGTAACTTAAATAACAACTGAGACGAAGAGAATTAATTATCGTCTAAGAGAATATTGTTTTTTGTTTTTTTTCGGTGTCATCGAGTTACGATCTCGAGGAGAAAAAATATACACGTGTAAAGACGATCTTTTATGTATTTCTTCTGCGGAGCATCTCTCTCCGAAGAACGGCCCCACAAAACCCGTTTCAATGCTGCATTATTCCCAATGATAGAACCTGCTCTCTTTCTCTCAGTCTCTCTCGGTGTCTCTCTTTCTCGAACCCTTGCGATTTATATGTCCCGTTTCGAGGGAGTCGCTTTGTTGACCGGATTTTTTTAGGCTCGCGCCGTGTCGAAGATAACCCTCCGGCTTTTGCTTTGGTTATCTATGAATATTATCTGAGCGGAGCTTTGCTCACTTCACGGAGCCTTGGCCCCGACGATGATCTCGATGTCACGCGGACTCGCGCAATGGCTCAATATTACGATGCACCCGAGGGGGCGTTCGGTCTCCTGCAGATCGAAGATGTAAAAAAGACGGAAAGAGGGAGAGGACGAAGTCACGATCGGTTGTGGCACTTCAAACGCGCGCGCGGATAATCACAACGAAATGTTACATGCAATTGCGCAAATTTAGTCAGCGGTTAATGTATGTC